GATCGATAGGCCTGTTAGGATCGATAGGGCTGTCAGGATTGATAGGGCTATAAAGATCGATAAGGATTGTTAGGATTGTTAGGATTATTAGACTATGAACTGTTAAACTAGTATTTTATATAGTAAGATAATTACTATATAATATACTATAAAGTTTTTCCTTATTAAAACATAAGATATAATTTAAGAGCGCAAAATTATATATTATATTATGTAAAATTGTATATTAATTGTACTCTGAAAAAGCTGTACAATCAAGATTGATGTATAATGTTTGTCATCATTCTTGATTTTTTAATAAATATTCACATTGCATATAATGTGAATTACATGTAATGTGGATATTTAATAATTTGATTGTGTTGTAAATTACGTTTTTATATATACGAATTATATTATTAATTATATTAATAATATAATTCGTATATATAAAAATAAATATAATATAGTAAATATTGTATGCCATTATAAACATTTTATATAATGTTAAATTCAAATGTAAATGCTATCATTATCTAATAATGTTGATAATTAAGATATTAAATAAAGCTAAATTATATATTAGAACATAAATAATTTCTTATTTTTTTTTAAATTTACAATTTATATATATATATATATATATATATATATATATATATTCGATTTGGTAGAATATTGTCATTTATCAATTTAAGCAATAAAAGACGTACTTATTTTGGAACATTTTTGTGCAAATTTGCAACTGATATCGACTTATTTGATAGAGATAGCATCATTGTAATCTATATTCTACATCTATACTATGTATATAATCAATATATTGTAATTTATATATTGTAATAATTTATATATATTGTATATATGTAATTACATATTGTAAATTATATTAATTGCACGAAATTGAAAAAAATGCACATAATACATAACGCAAAGTTTACAAAATTAATATATATCCAATCAATACTCGTTGTCTGTTAGACATTTTATTTTAAAATTATTCTAGAATTTAATAGTCTGTTTTTGATACGAAAGTTAATAAATACGGAAAATTTTTATTTCTAAATTTCGTAGTTTCAATTATCTTTTTAATTATTATAATGCGTAACATAAAAATGATTAAATAATATATGTGATTTGATATTAAGCCAACGGTGCAATATTAATTTCTCACTCGCGAAATTTAATACTTGCTCTTTCGACAATGCAAAATCGCAATTTGTCAAAATTATTTAGAAGTTCGGGATTTTGTCAATTAAATATATTCGTGAATTTGCGAATTGAAATTAAATATTTGTTAAATAAATGTATAATTAATATTACAAACATCGCGTTTTTTATGTCCTTTTGGTTTGAGGCGCGATTGCTATCTTATTGTCTTTCGTGTAAATACTAACGCGGTTCGTACTATCGGTTTTTTCGACAGTTCCTGGAAGCAATGGTTTTAACAATGAGTTAACGACAGATTTTTTAAAAGTCGAATTACAAAATTATAATTAAATAATATACTTTGAATAAAGAATTTTTTCTTCTTTTATTAAATCTTCTTCTGTTATTATTATTCTTAATATTAATATCGATTTAAAAATTTTTTATCGTTTTGGAAAAGACTTATTGTTAGTAGTAAAGCATTGAGCATGGATATAACTATTATATAGAGATAAATATTAATTTACCAAATAGGGTTAATACCATAAATTTAAATTGTAATTTATTTGTTCATCTCTGAACTTTTTTTAACACAAAATATATGGTTACGAACGAATATGTTTTATTAATTGATTTTTAATTAACTTTACTTTTGATCTCTTTTAAGAGATCATTTCTAGGTGTTGGACATCCTGCCATTTTAAGTCATTAATATTAATTTTTAAGTATAACTTTCGTTTGATATTTTATATAAGAAATTTGTTATATATTTTACATGCAGGAAATATATGCGCAAAATGTGACACATTTGATAAAACATTTCTTTTGTTAATATTATATCAATAATACTATATTAATACACACAAATACATGAAATGTACATGTACTAAAAAATTCGAGGCAAGTCGAATGGGTACTCTGATATCAGTAAGATATCGACATATTAAAATATTATTAAATATATTATAAAAGAATTAATAATTTTTTATTTTACGTCGCAAAATATTTAAATACGAAGTTTTTCAAAATCTTGCTGTTATTGGGTTCGACTTGTCTCGAACAGTTGGTACCCAAAAATTATTGTACTTGTACATTTAACAAGCGATAAATGCGCATATGTTTCATGATCCTTAAACATACTCGTTTGTAACCATGCACAGTTCCATAAAAAAATAGTTATATTATAATAGTTTCATTATTTATTAATAAAAAGACATTTCTAAATAATGGAAGACCATTTTTTCCCGTAAATTTCGATTTTGTGAATGAAAGATGGTGATGATAATTGTCATTGATTCATTGAAATGTTAAAATCATTGCTATTGGGAATAAGCTGGAAGATCTGAGATTCGTTCCATTTTGCAGCTGAACTCTTGACATTTGACGAGTCGTTTAATTTTCCTTTGCGGATCAATCTCGATAGAATTCTACGTAAAACATACGTTAAAAAATAGTCGCTCTATACATTTAATATTGTTCTTTTTTTACCTGTCGGATATTAACTGACAATCGGGCGAAATTATTTTAATTTTTCGAATTGTTATCATCAGATTATCCGCGAGATATTTTCATCTTATATTTAATTGCTATTATTATTTTTGTACTTGATCGTTGGCTTATACAAAATTTCGCTTATTTTTTCACGTGTCAAATTTTCTTAAAAAATTAAAATGTATCAATATAAATACTTTTCTTTTTGTAATAAAAAGATTGATAATATAATTGATGATAAGATATAATAATTAATGAAGAAATATAATAGATAATGTAAATGTATTTGCGATTTTTTCATTGCAACTTATTCATATTACGCAATTCTTAATAAGTTTTGTAATGAAAAGTCGATAATTAATAAATATCACGAATAATTTGAATCGTCTGTTTGAAAATCATTTGATTTAATTTTAAATGAATGTTATGTGCATTTCAGACATTTTCGTGTAATTTTGTATCATAAGATATTTTGTACTAATTTATAAATATTATAATTATATTTATAAATTATATATTGTAATTATATTATATAAATATTATAAATTCTTATCATAAATATATTGTATATGTTGTAAATATTATTATATATTGTAATAATGTTTTATAAAACTATTTATGTTATACTTTATAGTTTAATTATTGTATATTTTATATTCAATATGAATTATATATCAATTGTATTAAATACACACAATAGTGTATATTGTATATATTTTCAATATTTTATAAGTAAAATAATTTTGTAATGTAATAATTTTATAAAATAATTTTATAAAATAAGATATTTTGTATTAATTTATAAATATTATAATTAATATATTATAATTATATTTTATAAGTATATTATATTTTATAAAATATGTATGTTACTTTCCACACTTCAATATTATTATTGTATATTATATATTGTATACTTCCCTTTATTTTATGAAATTATATTATATTTATTATATTTAAATGAAATAATTATAATAAAAATTTTACCTCTTCGATGATATCTCCACCTTAACGAAGGCATTTGCCGGGTGAAGAGGTTTGAGTACTCTAATGATCCGGAGAGCTATGTCGGCGGTAATGTATTTAGATAGTAAAAATAATCATTTTTATGTCATTTTGCCAGTTAAATCGCGTCAAAATGAGATCAAAATGACTATTTTTGCGATCTAAATAGTTACCGGCAAGGTCACCTATGCCGGACAGGTCGAAGGGGAAGAGTGAGACTAAGAGAGATACTGTAGTTATTTATACTGTAGTTATTTAGTAATATTTTTAATAAAAGCTCTATATATATATATATATATATATATATATATATATATATATACACATACAAGGTTCTGCTGACGAAAGCATTGAAGATCGAACGCGCAAGTAAAGTGTCGATGACCAGGTCGTTGGATATCATCCTAGCATACATGATCCAAGTATATTTCTTTGGCGAGAAACCGACCAATAATAGGAGCGATCCTCTCATCATCTTCTTTATCATTTTTATGGGTTTCAAGAAGATCTACGCTATAAATTTGTGATTTCATTCCTTTAGCTACGAACAAAATGATCGTTCGAGATCGAATAAATCGCAAAGGAGAATGAACGTGAACAATTTGATTTCGTGACGAGAATAAGTGCATCGTAATTTTTCGGCAAGATTTAATTTCTCTTTAAAATCACTGACTAGTCGAATCACGATATCGGATAAGTCATAATAAGATCGTAATAAGTGATATTAATAGATAATGCGAGAACATTTTCTGGGCAAAATATACATGTTAGATAAAATATCTATTATGGATTCTACATATTAGAGTAATAATAAATTTATTTTATTTTTATTTTATATTTATAATTTAATTTTTTAAATATATTTTTGTACTTTTTTATTCAATTTTATAAGATAGACAGTTTTCATTAATGTTTCATTAACTCCAATATTTTTTGTAATGCAATTTTTAACATATTGCGTTTTTTTTTTAAACCAAATATTTCCTCATTAATTTTCGAAAATATCTGTTTTTTTTTTCAAAATTCTTACTATCTAATTAAATTTTATAATGAAATTCTGGTTTATATTGAAATAGGTATAATAGTTATTCAGTAATTTTTAGTTTGTATTTTTAACAAATTCATTGTAATCAATAGAAATTTCAATAAAATATTTTCATTAAAGTATATACAAAGAATAACTGAAAGGAATATCTCTGATTAACTAAAAATACTGTAAAATTGTTTCATTATAATAATTTCAATACAGAATTTGTAAAAAAAAATTTATTTTTACTAGTTTATTTGTTAATTGATCTTTTTAGTTATGTATGTATGTAATCTTGGTTTCCTTATTTCTACATATTTTAAAATAGATTGTTTTATTACCTATGCATATTTCTCTATTTATGTTACTATACACATAATAATAAATATACATTTGTAACTGCATTTGTTTACAATTTTGTAAATCCCTATTTGTAGGGATAATGTTTTATAATATCAATTACAAATTTCAATCAAAATTCAATTACAATATTTTAATTAACTGAATCTGAAAGGTCTTCACATTTCAGTCTTATAGCTTGCATCAAATAGGGAACTTTTTCATGTTCGAATAATTTTGCCCAAGAAGTAGAATTTATTGCAATTGTGTTGGATTTTGTTAATTCCTCAGCAGACTTTATTCTTAATAACCATGTACTCTTCAATCTTTGAGAATTCACAGCATATGCTGTATCAGGTAAATTAAAGATAAGTATTCTGAAATATAAAACATGCATCACAGCAACAAGTAAGGGATTAAACAGTTGTAATATGTTAAATAAATTGAGAATATTCTTACATTTGACTTTCACTTGGAGTTGGTATATCCTCGATGTAAATCGTGTTAGTTTCATTGGACATAACTGTATTAATTGCAACAGGATATCCACCTTTCCTCATTACAACAACATGGTCTAGAATGTATAAATAAAAATAAAAATAAAATTTTAAATTGTTATTATAATCCAAATAATTTCAGTTTTTTCATTACTTACCAATATGATGACCAAGTTTTGTTCTTAAGTTATTGCAAATATACTGAGGTCCACCCAGTGCTAGTTCTAATGCTGCTTTTATAGAATATTTAGGAAAAGTTGGACTAATGTTAAAAGCATATTCTAGTATCTCCTGCGAAGGCAATGGTCCATCATATGTAGGATACAATGTCTTAACACTTTGATATAAAAGTAATATTTCTTTAGCATAAATATTCTTCCTCTTATCAATTCTAATTTTTATATTCTCAGAAAAAACTTTCTTGAGTAAATTTGGATTATAACAATCTAATGCTGTCAAAAGTAGAGCAAATTTGATCATAGATTTTCTGAAAAATTTATTTTCCACTTCACTTGCAAATATCGCATCTCGTATAATATCCCAAAATACTGGCTTGTAATCAGCATTGTTAAGTCCTTCTAAGAAAATTGATACTTTAAAAAATGATGCATCTTTTAATAGATTTGGATCTTGGAAACATTTTGCGGCTAAATATTCCAAGAATGGTATATGTGCATAATTTAAATCATTTAACAGTTTGAGTAAATGAATACCACTGTTAAAATTAATATTTGAAGATAATGCTGAATTGACACAAGCATCCACTAATGTCTCATTGTAGAACTTGTATCCATGGTTTTTGCTGTAAAAACAATATATTGTTTATATCTTACGTTTTATAATGTCAAATATTAATATAAGAATTTTGTAACATACTTCATTGTAGTGACAAATATTAGTTTTTCGAGTATCTTGATTACTTCCTCGATATATAAATTTTTCGCATTAGCTATGAGTATTTCTTGTACTTTAGATAATAATTCAAAAGCTATTGGAGATAGAACATATATAGAACACAAATTGTAAAAAATAATACAAGCTGTTTGTACATCTAGATCATTTTCATATTTCCACAGTGATTTGAATATTATATCTTTTATTTCTGCATTATTTATATTATTTTCATTTACATATCTCAAAGACCATATTAAATTAACTATATTATCCGATTCTAACTTTGTAGGTAATTGTGCTTCAAATACAAGAGGCAAAGCTATCAGTAAAGCATCTCGCAATGGAGTGCTATCCATTTTCTTTAATAAAAAATTTAAAAACATTATATTTTGAAGAGACATCTCATTTATAGTTGTACGAATCATTTGCAGCAGTGATTGAATTACAATACTGTGGCTTGGGAGTTTAAAATATACAAATATTTTCAAGATTTCAATAATGTCATGTGTCTTTATGAGTCTAATGTCCTTGTTTACTATTTTACATAAACGTATAAAGCCTATGTGCTTTTTAATAATTTGTGTATCTTCCATTTCTTTAGATATGTCAAATAAAGTAGACATTGTATGAACAACATCATGTATAGTCATATTTGTATAATTTGTTGCTGCTTTTTCTAAGATTTCCATGGATTTATGTATTTTGATATCATCAGATGCATAGTTATTTCTTTTTAATAATGGAAAATCTTCCATTTGTGTATGGTCTGAGAAAAATTTTAAATTATAGTATTATATTTATATCACATATATATCTAAACAATATATATCTGTACAATTACCTGTCAAACTAGTGTTATATATTCGTGATAAACTCTGTACTGATGGAAACGGTGTTATATGATTTGATAGAACTGCCCAATTACGTGCTATTGGATATAGTCGTAGTAATTTCTTTAAAGATCTGTCCATATTATATATAAAATTGTTATTACTCTGTAGCAGCGTAATCACTCTGTAAATTATTATTCAATATTATAATCACTATTGTTACTAAAATGTTATTAATTTTATAGAAGCTTCAAAAGAAAAATGTGATTAAAAGAATGGTTAGAGATTTAAATAAATGATAAAAGCAAAAAGTTTAACAAATATAAACTCTATTTTGTTAGATAAAGATACATATATATGTATGAAGCTTTCATGTAGGATAATTTAAGAAATCTTCGAGTTTTATTGTTTAAATCCTTATAAATCTAAAAAGCATAATATTATTATTATAATATTTATAATCTTAGAATTATATAATTACTTAATTTGTTATATCTATTATATATGTTTTGACATATCTGCTGCAAGAAAAATATATATTTGCTATAACAATATCTGACTCATATTTGTATGTGAATTTATAACTTATTAATTTTTTTTCACATGATTATAATCAGAATGTTATTTCAGATATTTTTTATTAAAATAACAGTATTCGCGAGAAAATAATCGCTATACGAGCTACAATAGAAAGTAAAGGGTTAGAAACACTTACATATCAAATTCTTTGTGTAATTGCGCTATTATTGGTATTTTGTTTTTTCTGAGAAATCATTGATAGTATTAAACCAGTATTAAAAGAATATATATATACATATATTATAAATGGAAAATAATTTGTTATTTCTTTATAAACTTCTATTATATATGTAGTTAGAGATACTGAAATCAAAAGACCGGACACGAGGCGGAAATCCGCCATCCGCCATGTTTCTGTTAAATCCTACATGCAAGAAAGAAAGATATATAAGGATATATATGTATATATTTCTGCCATAATTTGTTTCTTAAAATTATAAAAAGATTTATAGTCCTCAGACTAAAAATTTTTGATTAAAAAGGTGAAAATATTTTAAAGAAAATATACGATAACAAATCTATGCATTTTGCATTTTAAATAATGATAAGTAATAATTATGAAATTATCATTTTTTATGATTTAAATGCAAAATGCATAGTGTAATAATAAATAATAATTATTTGTAGTAATAATCTTATATCAATAAAGTATTATTGCACAAAAATATTAAAATTGTATTTTATCTTATTGTATTTTTCATTAATAGATTTAAAAATCAGCGGGAAAAGCAAGAAAATGGCGGACCAATCAAAAGTAGGTAACTCGTGTCTCTGATTCAGAGTTTCTAGAGAAGAGTTTCTATATCGATATTTTCCAACTTCCGGTACTGAACGGCTATTCAGATCCAAAGTCGAATTTTTTAAATATGGCATATGGTATTTTTTATTGCAGATTTGGGTTACATGTAAAAGAATGAGAAACTTGTCTGAAATATTTTTTTTCTGAAAACGCCTCTATCGATCTTGAAATGATTTTGAAAGTGTAATGAATCACTTCCGGTCAGTATCGGAAGCTGAAAACTCACCGTTCGATAGAATGTACCCGATTTACTTATCAAATTTTTTGACATTTTTTGATAATCACTTTTTCCTTTATTTGAAAAGGGGTATGCATCCCGTATATTATCTTTCGAATAGAAATCAGTCCGAGCGACCTCTAAATTTAATGTTAGAAAATCGAAGTGCTAGAAAATCGAATAGCGTTGCTATTCTGTATGTCAGTTATCATGGCTACATTTAATGACGTAGAGCTGCCATATTTTTTCTGCATAGGGCCTGTTAGGGGGTCAATTAAATTGTTGAGGTTCGGATAAAGCCCGAGATGGCTAATGCAAGATAGTTTCTGATAACCAAGCAGTGCATAAAATAAACAATTGAGCAAGATTTTGAAAATTGCGTGCGTTGTTACAGCAGGTATGTTTGCGTTAATTGAGCGGTTACATGAAATCGCCGACGAAAAAAGCCCTTTTATTCGAAACAGCTTCCTATATATGCTAGATAGAGAAACTTTGCGCTATACAAATTTCCTCGCGGATGGCAGTGTATGCAGAAATTACGACGAGGTTATAAACTTGAAATCTAGGACGATTATTGCAGCTACATGTAACGACGCGTATATATATCGTGTCTATATTTGACAAAATTACTTGACAGAACATTACGATGTAACATCGCGCGATTGTATTCGTATCGTAAGGAGAGGTATGCGATTTTGTCAAATTCTGCTCACGAATGTAATTTATCTCGGTAGACTATTTTTATCCCGTTTGCACTTTTTTTTATTTACATGTCACTTTCTTGTTGCACATTTTCGCCAAATATTTTTTTAGTTATCTTTACCGCAGTTACGTAATTAACCAATGTGAATGATCTCTCCACAATGATCTCAAGTGCGAAATGAATAAAATTCGACCTTTTCGTGTTGTTGATATATATCGGTCGATGGACAAGATTGATAATAAAAAGGAAAGACCAGCCGTCTTATTTTACGTGTGTTTTATTATTGATAAATAAAATACTTAAAACTGCATTTTTTTTGTAATACTCCAAATTGCTACAGCGCGATTGTAAATAGAATCCTTCTTTAGGTTATCAATGATGCGATATGCATATAACACTTTGCAAACAAATGCATTTTTGTGTAATTTGTATCTTTGTATTCCTTTTCTTGCTATTTTTTTTCCTTATCTACTTCTGTCTATATATTCTTTCTTTCTTCTGTTTTTCTTATATTTTCTTATCTTTTTCACATTTATTAATTTTTTATCTTATCTTTTTCATGATTTTTTTCTTTGCTTTTTTTTTATTTTTTTCTGTAATGAAAATAACTACAATAAAAATATATTAAAAAATCAAATAATTTTGCAATTTCAGTAGAAAGAATCGTGAAAATTTTAATATGATTAAAATATATAAGTTATAATGGTTAATAATAATAAATTTAAAAATAAATTATTTGATTCATACAGATATTTATAGATTTGTGATTCAAGCAGTTAAAGTGCTCTTTCTAATATTAATATATAATTTAAGCTATTATTATAACAATAAATTATATATTACAGGAATTTATCACTGATAACATAACAATGTGGTACAAGGAGATAACCAATGTTAATAATGATAATGAAAATGTCCACTATAAATTGTGGTAAGAAATAATTTTATCAATAAAGAGACATGTCAGATTCGTCGCAATATCTTTATGGTCATCCCCCTCCTGATATTATGCCAAAAGGATTTCCAAATATTGGTAATTATTGTCATTAAATATATAATTGTATTTACTATTATAAAGATGAGAAAATAATAATTTGAAACATGTTATAGGCATAGGAGGAAAATTACGTCAACTTGAAGGCCTGTTTATCGGTGGTCCTGTCCAAGGTGGACGAGTGGGTCATACTATCTCGATCGAGACACTTATCGATGTTTTACTTGTGTTATATGACGAATGCTGTAATTCTTCATTACGTCGTGAAAAGACTGTTTCTGATTTTATTGAATTTGGTAAGTTTTTAGATATAGATTTAGATTTAGACACAAATTAATAATGTATTTTAATTATTAGCATTAAATATATTTAGCCATCAATGTGCTAGTTATACTGTCGACTCTTTACAGTGAAACCAATAACTACATGCATAAAGAATTTGCAATTGACACGAGAGGATTTTGAAATTGTTAAGGTCATTGGCAGAGGTGCCTTTGGTGAAGTATGCGTCGTAAGAATGCGTGGCTCGGACAAAGTATTTGCTATGAAAATTTTAAACAAATGGGAGATGTTAAAGCGTGCTGAAACTGCATGCTTTAGAGAAGAAAGGGATGTATTAGTATATGGTGACCGCAGATGGATCACAAATCTGCATTATGCCTTTCAAGATGACAATAACTTGGTAATACGATTTTATTTATTTTATTATTGATATTTAATATATTTCATACCAGATCAACTTTTAATTTTTCCATGCCGTACGAATTGCATGCGCTGTACAAAATCAAGATTAATTGTTTTGTTTATAATATATATTTTATAGTTACTGCAAATATTATTATTATTAAGTAAAAATGTAATATTCAATATGTCCTATATAAAACAAAGCACAAATTAAACAAATAAAAACACCTATTATAATTTATATGATTTTATAAAAAAAAAATAGGGAAAAAATTAGTCTACAATTATAATATTGTTCTATAGATATGCAGATATTTTTGTTTTTTATATTTGTTTAGTATGTATTGTAATTTTGTACATTTGTATAGTATTTGTTTTGTATACTTGTACGTATCATATATTTTCCAAAAAATTCTTTATATATATTTATTTTATATTGAATGACAATGAATTATTAATATAATCTTATATAATTGATTATAAATTATATCAAAATTATTGTAATTAAATATTTAATAGGCTGATAGAATAATGAATGGAATAACAATTTTAAAGTAGGTTGAAAAAAGATTATCTAAGCGCATTGTTATGCTGCATTGGATGTATGTGCTCCTTAATGTGATAACTTCACAATACATTTTACATTTAAGCATTAATATATTATGATTCTAAAATATCTTTTACTGTTACATTTAATGATGAAAATTTTAGTCTGTATGAAAAGTTTAGCTTACGGCGTATGTGATTCACGCGGCAGGAAACATATTAATGAAAGAAAGTATAAATTAAATATATAAGTATCAATTAATATGATTATTTTTTTCACATATGGTGTTTATATAGTATTTGGTCATGGATTACTATTGCGGCGGAGATTTATTGACATTATTGAGCAAATTTGAGGATCGTCTCCCCGAAGATATGGCTCGGTTCTACATAGCAGAAATGGTGCTAGCTATAGGTTCTATACATGACTTACGTTATGTGCATCGTGACATTAAACCTGATAATGTTTTATTGGATGCAAATGGTCATATCAGACTAGCTGATTTTGGCTCTTGTTTACGACTATTTGAAGATGGGACAGTACAAAGTAATGTTGCAGTTGGTACTCCAGACTATATTTCACCAGAGATATTAAGGGTAATTCTATTTGCATATTATGATTCATATTACAAACAAATATATATAGCAGTCTTTAAAATTTTAATTAGAAATATATTTTAACTTAAATTGCAATACTCGACTTTTAATTTTATATTCCTCTTAGCATTGTAGTATTAATATAGTATTGTAATATTAATGATGTAGACATAATAATGTTTTAAACACTTTTGAGAGAGATATGCTTATTTCACATAACTCTTCTTATCTTTCATGTATAAGTTTTAAAATGTGAGAGGCAAGGAAACTCGCATTAATCAAGTAAACATGAGAAACAAAAGAAATTATATGAAATAAGCATATTAAAAGCAGTTTAAAACACTGCTGTATCAATGATATTGAATAAGCCAAATGAAGCATAAGATTAAAAGCCGAATATTATGATTTAAAGAAAGTAAAAATGTTTACTTAATCTTAATTAATCTTAAATAGGAATTTCCATTTAAGAAATCAAAATTGATTTTGATCTAAAACTTAATACAACTTTTATTTAAAACATTGTTTTCTAAGTATTTGTCTGTTAAGATTAAAATGAAATATCTCATAAATACATATACATATATACATACATATATACATACATATATATGTATGTATGCATGTATACATGTATTATACAAGCATTCATTATATCTCCATTTTTAGATTACTAGATATCACTATGTATGTATATATGTATTATGTATGTGATTTTATATCTACTAGGCAATGGAGGATGGTCAGGGACAGTATGGTCCTGAATGCGATTGGTGGTCTCTTGGAGTATGTATGTATGAAATGCTTTATGGTGAAACACCTTTTTATGCAGAATCCCTAGTCGAAACTTATGGAAAGATTATGAATCACAAGGTAAGCTTTTCAAGTTTTAGATTTCTTATTAATTAAAAGATATTATTTGTTTACTGAAAAGAGTTTAATGTTTCCATAATTTATAGAATTGTTTTGATTTTCCTACGGACGCTATATATGATGTTTCTGAAGAAGCCAAAGATCTGATGCGGAAGTTGATTTGCAGCTCTGAATTTAGACTAGGTCAAAATGGAATTGATGATTTTAAGGTAAATTTTGCTACAATAAAATTGTGCGAATATATTTTACATTTATAATCTTATATATTCAACAATTATAATCTTTTATATTCAGCAATTAAAATTTGCTGACATCTTTGTTACATTAAATATATACAGGAAAAATTTTTCTTAATTACAGATATTCTTTAATGAGTTTATTATACTGAATGAATTTATTTGAAAAATATGAGAAAGAAAAGCTTATAATTCTTATTTAGCTTTAAAAGTCTTTAAAAGCTAGTAAGACTTTTTTTGCAAATTACATGAATGGTCTTTAACAGAGATAACATTTAATAATCACACGCAACACACGCACATATATACAAAGTTGAAAATTAACCAATTGTGGCTAGTAATATTCTTTAATTATTATGGTGATAAATTATCATGAATTTTAAACCTAAAAATCTCAAGAGATATAATATACAATTGTTATATTATTTTTATAAATGAAAAATGTGACATTTGCAAAATGAATATACTATATAATTGTGTGACATGATTATAATATAATTCTAAAGTATATTTATGGTGTATATTTTTAAATATAGAAACATCCTTGGTTCAACGGAGTCGATTGGGATACACTCAGAGATAGTACTGCGCCGTACATTCCTGAAGTTTCGTCACCCAGTGATACATCAAATTTTGATGTTGATGATACCGATGTTCGCACTTCCGACGCTGTGCCACCAGCCGCCAATTCTGCCTTCTCCGCGCTTCATCTACCATTTGTTGGTTTTAGTTTTACACAAGGAAGGTACGAGATATCTTTCTTTTTTTGCTACTTTTGTACACAATACGCCTATTATAATTATTAATCTGCTATATACTTTAATACTTAAAGATACTTAATGATGAGAAAAGCATTTCAGTTTAAGCCTCAATTTTAAAATATAATATTGAGGCTTCTGTTTATTCATTACAATTATATATATTGAATTATCATGTGAAAAGCGAGAAATCGTGTAATCTTTTTCGTGCGCAATATATCGAATTAAATTTATTTTTTTAATATTATTTGTGCTTATTATAAAGTATAGTTTGTAAATTGATACTAAACATATATTGAATAACATATTAAAAATCTTTTCTATATTATTCTACATTTAATAAATGTATATATGATTCAAGCTACATCTTTATTCTACATTTTCATCGAATTTAAATGAATTTTTATGACAAAAATAATTTATAATTATTTATTAATTTATATAAAACACAGAGAGTTACTGAATTAACCCAATTTATATATAATAGTGAAAATTTTTAAATTTAACATCAAGATTAATTTATTATGCCAATTTATGTGCCATAATTTATGATTTCATAAAATACTACAATTTTTATATAATCAAAATATATTCTTCACTAACAATGCCACTCACAAGGTGTTCTAGTTATTTTTTTTTTGTTTATTAAATGAATTTGATTGCTACATATTTCCAACGTATTAAAATTATGATAGTCGAATGTCATGAATAGTATTGTACATATATTGGATTAATTATAATTCACATTAGAAATATATCCTTTTTCATCACTGAAATTTAATATTACAGTTGCATATCGGATCTGGGTTGTATCTCTGCTTTATCTCAGACAGATAAACGTGTACAAATACTCGAGGAAGAAAATGCACGATTAATACAAATTATTGATGATATGAAAAATCAGTCGAGTATAAGCCATTCTTCACCTGGTATTTCACCTGATTCTAATAATGCAACCAGAAAACTACAAGACGAAATAAATGTGCTTACAAAACGCAATTGTGGTAAAGTTATATTTAAACTGCGATATTTTTCATCTATTAGTCTCAATTATAATATAGTATATTGACATAAGATCTTCTTATTCTATATAGAATTGGAATCGCAATTGAAATCTATGGATGTTCCACGCGAATTACGAACTTTAGATAATGGCGACATGATGAAATTCCGTGAATTAGAAAAGCTAGTTCGATGTTTACGCTTGGAAAAGGAAGAAATTATTAAAGATAAATTGGATGCACAAGAGAAACTAAAACTTCAAGAAAAGGAATTAAAGGATGCGCTTACACAACGTAAACTTGCAATGACGGAATACACGGAAGTATCGGATAAATTGTCCGAATTGAGACAACAAAAGCAAAAGTTATCAAGGCAAGTTCGAGACAAAGAAGAAGAATTAGAAGTTGCAATGCAGAAAGTCGATACTTTACGCCACGACATTCGAAAAGCTGAAAAATTGCGCAGAGAGCTAGAGAATAGAATCGATGAGGCAATGGCAGAGACCAGTAAAGAAAGAAAGTTACGAGAACGCAGTGAAGAATATTGCAAGCAAATGCAAGAAGAGACGGAAAAAATTAGACAACGTTCCCTTGGAAATGATGTCAGTGCAAATCATGCCTTGGCAACTCAGGAGATTAATAGGTTAAAAGCAGAAGTTGAGAAACTTGAAGTTCAATATAACGAAAATCTGACTCAACAACAAAGCAGGTTTAATCTTGAGATTCGAAGTCTTCAGGAACAATTACATGAAGCGGAAACTAGGAGAGAACTATTCGAGAGAGAAGTGCAACTTACAAAGGAGAAATTGGATGCTGCAAGATTGGAAAACATCACAGATAGTGAAGAAACTATAAGTGAATTAAATAGACGTCACGAGAGAGAAAAGATTATGCTAGTCGAAGAGAATAAGAAGCTTGTATTAGAGCTTAGTGCTCTTACTGATAGTGTTAATAGATTACAAGGCGAAAGAAGACAATTGGAAGACGAGTACGAAGAATTAAGAAACAAAAAAGAAGCTATTGCGCAATGGGAAGCTCAAATTACCGAAATTATTCAATGGGTATCGGATGAAAAAGACGCTCGTGGATACTTGCAGGTTTGTACATATATAATTTAATTGTCTTAAATATTCTTAATTATCTATTTTTTTCTAAATATTCTCAATCATTAAAGATGATAACAAGTTTATATGTATATACAATATATGAAAACGAAACTAGAAGGGGACACACACACACACACACACACACACACACACACACACACACACACACACACACACACACACACATATATATCCTTCCTTACATATATATATATATATATATATATATATATATATAAAGAATAAAGAGATTTTTATTAGTTTGTTTATAAGAAAGGAAAATTTATTTCAATTTCAGGCCTTAGCCACCAAAATGACAGAAGAATTGGAATTCTTGAAACATTCGGGTGGAATAAGCGGTAGCGTTGGGAGTGGAACCACTTTGACCGATAAAAATTGGAGGAATCGTCGATCGCAGAAACTCGATAAAATGGAACTTTTGAACTTGCAGAGCTCTTTACAGAGTGAAATACAAGCAAAGCAAGCAATTTCGGAGGAACTTACCAAGACGCGATCAGATTTGATAGCTGCACAAAAGTAATTTAATTTTCCATTGAAAACATATGAAAATATGCATGTCAAAGACAATAAACAAATTGAATATTTTTGTTTCATTTTTCTTTTCTTTTCTTTTTTTAGAGAACTAAAGGATCTTAAGCAGCGGTTAGATACCATGTCACACGAATTGAAGCGAAAAGATATGCAAATAAAAGAATTGCAAGCGCGTCTTGATACCGGTGATGGCTGTAAGTACATTTCCATTAATAATATGACAAGCAAGAAATACACAAAATTTTATTATATCGTTATGGGAATATTGTATCTACACTTCATTCAAGTTGCAGTTATACATGATATGTACTTAATTTGTGGATGTGTTAATCTTTAAGTATTGAATAAGTTCTAAGTTCTGATTTTGTTTTATAAAGATGTGCTGAGATACACATGCATGCGCGCGCGCGTGCCCGCACGCATACGACATATACACATATACATGCATACACAAAGGGCGAATCATATTACAGTTACAAAAATCAATATTTTTATATCTGTATAGGAATTACATAGAAATTTCAACAAGATTAGAATAATTTGAATAAAATAAACAAATTTATACTGGAGTTAAAAAAAGGTAAATTTTAAAGCTAGACTATAAAAATATTTTTCCACTTTTGTTATTGACAAAAATAATAGTTGTTAAAAAGATATAAAGATAAAAAAGAGGAATAATGACATGAATCCTATGGCTGGATTCAAGAGAACGAACAGTTAGTTTATAGGATAATGAAGTTAGAGATAACATGAGACACCTTGTAGATACGTAACACGTGCGCGCATACGCATATACACAATGTTTTAAAAATGGATTTAAAAAGGATAAGATATAAATCAACATTTATTAATTAAATAAAACATGCTTAATGAACATAAGTCGAAAAATTAACTTCTTGTCTAAATTAAAAATAATTTTTAGTTTTGAAAAACATAAGTAATTAAAATGATTAGTTTGTCTCCATTTATTGCATGTAATGTGAAGGAATTATCTCATACATTCTCATTTATGAGATATTTATGAGATATTCTACACATATTCGTCTATTTGCACATACTTATATAATACTTATAAACTTTCTTAAGAATCTTACGCATACGCATGTATGCACGCCCAGATGCGTGCGCGTGCTCGCGCGCACACACGCACATTTATTTTTTTCACTTAAGATATTTTAATCTTACGGAGATTTCTATATTTGCATTTTCGGTGACGGCTTTTGCATGCGTATCTTCGAGCCATGTAGTTTTGTGGAAACATTAAATAGTTGCTCATAGCTCATATGCAATATTATTTGTTTGTCAATTTATGATTATGCTCACGCTCTAATGTCACTTATTTTTAATTATAAACAAACGAAGAAATTGACCTGTTAAATGTTCGTTGCAGGAAGGAATTTTCAATTTTTGAATATTTTCTAAACAATATACCTATATACCTATATATATACAAAAGCATATCAAAGTGTGATGAGATTTAGAATATCACATACGTGCGATTTTCAAAGATATGATAGATAATACTTTTTTTTTTGTTTACACCCTTTTTTTAATATACGACTTATGATATTAAATTCATATAAAAATAATATGCCGCGATAATAACAACGCGATAGTTTTACTTATTTTTTAAAAATATTAGTTTAAACAATGAAGCGTTTGCGCTAAAAATATTACATATAATTTTAATATTAAATTCAGATAAAAATAATATGGTGCAATATAATAGCAAAGTATAGTAGTTTTACTTTTTTTTAAATATCAATCTAAGCGATTAAACTTTTGCGTTGAAAATATTACATATAATTATTGTAATTTAAAAAAATGATAATCTAACATTAGTAATGTCTCTTAATCAGTTTTAATTCTCTTTCTATTAATTTGCAAAGTAGAACTGAATATTAGAAGCGATTTCATTAACTTCAATGACTTTGAAGTATATTGTAAAAAAAAAGTCGCTTGAATGCCTCTTGACAAATATTAAAAATGCTGCTCATTTTTAATTCTAGATACGCACATGAAGTGTGACAAAATATATAGTTTTAAGTTTTCGATTTTTCATATAAAGCGAGATTTAGTATATACAGCAATAATCTTCTTAAAGTAATCTTTCTATTTTAATACAATAAATCCAATTTATATATAAATAGTCAATAAAAATTGTAATAAGATCTTACTTCTTGATCCACTCAAGATATATAAACTTTCTTTTATTTTCTAAAAATATAAGGTTGTTTTGTAAAATCATTATATAAAAAATCAAAAATATATATGAAACTATACATTTAAAAAAATCTTGCTTCACATTTAAAGCATCAAACTGTATGCAGTAAATTTATTTTGCCAGGATAGTCGAAAAATTATGCTAAATTATACATGTTTAAAGATCTCGTTTGGCGTCCAAAGCATTGAACTATGACTATCTTTATTTATATTTATAAGTTCATTATGAACTTTCTAATTAGAGATGGCTACAATGTCATGCTTTTAATTACATTTGCGATTATTAAAATTGAGAAGGTTGTTCTTAATATTCAGTTCTATCGCTTATAAGATTTCCGAATATATTCAACAATTTTTTCTTTAAAATTTTAGCTATAACGCTTTACATTATTTAATTTTCTTATTTACATTTTTCCAAACTCTATTTCTTATTTTTTTAGTTTTATTAATTCTGAACGTTTAGTACTCATTTATCTTTATTCTATTATTCTTCTACTATTTTTTTTACAAAATTATATTCAAAACGAAAAGTTTTAACAGAGAAAGAGAAAATGTTATAGCTAATCGATTAATTAATTATCATTAATATTATCAATTGTTATTCCAAAAGTTAAATATTTGGTCTCTGCTTTTATTATCATAATCTACAAAATTGATGTTATAAATATTATATAATTATTTATAATATGTTTAAAATGAAGTTAAAGGGGAATCACTATAGGTTACTCTTTTTGTTCATTAATCACAATATATCTTCATTTTCACAATATAATAAATACGTTAATCTACTCGAGAATATAAGAAAGTCCTAGCAAATAGAAAAGATTCTAAAGTATTACTGAAAAGAAATTATATATTTATTACATTAATATATACATACATACATGAAAGACAATTATCACAAAATTGTTATCATTATGGTCATTATTCAATGTAATAATCTAATTTCAATGATCGGTTGGACACGTTATTTAAATATTTTTCTAAATCACAAAAATATCTTTATTGATCTGCTATATGCGAGAAAATTTGTAAGTTTTAACGTGCACATTAAAAATTTTTGTTCATATTGAATTATAGAGATCGTTATCTGGGATCTATTTAGTATAGTAATTCGATTCTCCAGTATGGTATGCGATTCTGATTTCTAGACTACAAAGTGCCTCTGTTTATTGGCGTAACGAGCTGCGTGTGGGGCCTCTTATTGCTCATCTTCAAACTATATTTGTGACAGCTGTCTCATCCAGCGATACATCAAGCAAATCTCCAAACATCGTTAGCACCAAACCCCAACGTATCATCGTACATCAGCCGTCGTCACCCTTACCAGTAATGCGTGTCCCCCGCATCACGACTTGTCGCTTATTAAATAGATTCGTTCCAGTCAACACATTCATCAATCAGAATGCCACCGCCATCGTATCGCCACCCGGTAAATGATGTGGCAACAAAAGAGCGATTTTGGATTGGATATTTTACTGCTAATTATATAGCACAGGACTATGTTGTGATTCTTTATTTTTTATTCCATTTAAATTATGTATCTCTATATCTTATATATTTTCTATATCTTCGTTTCTTCCGTTTTCATAGAAAATCTGGAAAAGAGGATTCTTATTATCGTGTATTTATTTATACAGTTTTATTCGCTTTGTCGTTCTACTTTTTAATTAAAACATAGCACTGTGCTATTTTTAACACTTATAATAAGAAGACGATTATATTGTGCCCAATGTTATTTCTGTTTAAGTTATGATAGTGTTGAAAGGTTTTGTAAATTTTGTTCCTTAATGGATATGATTAGTTTTATATAATTTTTTCTCTCTACAATATAACTTTCATCGATTAATTATTTTAACTAAACTATTAATATAAGCACCGCATGAATTATGCTTTGTGTATTAATACTAGCTAAAACTTGTAATGTTATAAGCTACTTTTTTGTTAATGCAATTATTACATTTTACAATAATGAAGCATGTTTAATGTATCTCTTGTATATTTTAATGTAATTTTGTGTATACTACTATTTTTGTACATATTACTATTTTTATGTAATACTAAGAATCACACAATTACTACTGTTGACTAGCAGAGAAGCATGTATAAATTGTATAAATTGTGCTAAATAATTTATACCATTAATTTTCAGGTAAGATATTACATGTGAACATTTAATAGTAGGCGCCGAATTTTTAATACTAGGATGATAGTGTTATTTCCCTTACATCTGTTTTTACAAATGTTTTACAAATTTTACAAATATTTATAATTGTAAAATTTTAAGCACATTTGTGTATTACTACTAATATGTTATTTATCCGATGTTTGTCTTTTTATTTTAGTTTTAGAACGTCCTACATCACAGATGTCATATCTCGAACATTTTCTTAAAGAGACATCAGGTAGTACACGTCATGGAAGCGTCGACAGTGTAGAAGGTGACATTGAGGACAATCGTGCACCTAGTATTACAAGCAGCAAAAGTAATTTGTCTGAACTTAGTATCGTAAGTATCTTAACATACATTTGATGAATAAAAAAAAAAGATTACAGACAAATTGATTAATAATCTTCGTCCTATAAGAGAAACGGATGATTGATACAGAAAAATAAAGATTTTTAATAAGCCAAATTAATTTTCATTCAAATAATAAGACATTAAATAAGTCAAAAATTAAATAACATAACTACATAAATGACATTAAATCACTAACATAAATAACATTAATAAGACAACAATAAGATAAAATTTAATAATATTTTTTCCTTTTTCTTCTAGGATCCAACATCGCCATTATCTCATGAACTTTTAAACAAGTCTTCATCTACTCATGGTCAAGCCAATTTGCAACCAAAGCCTAAATCACACCAATTTCTCGTACGGACATTTTCGGCACCCACAAAGTGTAATCATTGTACATCTTTAATGGTTGGATTAACTAGGCAAGGAGTTGTATGCGAAGTGTGTGGCTTTGCATGTCATATGCCTTGTTGTGATAAAGTACCTCCAATGTGTCCTGTACCCCATGATCAAAGTAAGTAATATTAGAATGGTTTATATTATAAATTTTTATGATTAAAATTTCATCCCAAGATCTTGTGAAAAATGATTTCATTCAAATAATAGATATATTAATTAATTTCTTTGTTGTATAAGCTGTAACATTTGTTTTTAAAAAGCTTGTTACAAAATATGTTATTTAAATTATTGTTTCCTTTATCTTTATGATGTCACAATTTTTTGTTACTTAAACTTTATTTTCTGATTTAACATATATTTTAGCCAAACGACCATTGGGGATCGATCCTACAAGAGGGATCGGAACTGCGTATGAAGGATATGTCAAAGTGCCAAAAATGGGTGGTGTCAAGAAGGGTTGGGTGCGTCAATTCGTCGTAGTTTGCGACTTCAAATTATTTCTTTATGATATTTCGCCAGATCGCAATGCTTTGCCATCTGTATATGTTTCGCAAGTACTAGATATGCGAGACGAAGAATTCAGTGTGAGCTCGGTTCGTGATTCTGACGTAATACACGCTACAAAAAAGGATATTCCGTGTATATTTAGGGTAAAAGTTTTTCTTAATATTTTAATTATAACAACAGATTCTTATTTTTATCTTATTTTTCAAAATTAATCTGTTTGTAAAAATTTTGCAATCTTATCTCTTAGTTAAAATAGTAAGAAATAGTAAGAAATAGAATCAATAATAAGAAGAATAAACGATAAATTATATATCCACATATTAATTAATAAATCCTGTTGTTATAAACCTGTTGTAATAAACCTAGTGTTTCCATATTTTAATAATTTGATTTTCAATGTAAACATATAGTTGAAAATGTGTATTGTGTATTATTATTATTTTTTTTTTGATTGGAATAAATGGTTTTTATTTTGATTTAGATAACGACATCGCTATTGGAGCCTCCTGGATTGAGAAATCATACGTTAATGTTGGCAGATACAGAGAGTGAAAAAACAAAATGGGTAGTAGCTTTAAGCGAGCTTCATAGGATTTTAAAGAGGAATAATCTTCCAAACACAACGGTATATTGATTATATGTAATGAAGAATTCAAATAGCAAAAGAACTCAAAAGAAACTATCTCTTTATTTATTTTTCTTTATATCTTCAAAATGCTTGTCATATTAAAAGATTTTATTTTAAATTATTTTTTCTGTTTTCAAATATAAAATATTAATATGTATATTTTTCTTTTTTATCATAGATTTTTAGAGCGAAAGAACTATTGGACAATACCTTGGCATTCATTAAGAATGTGATGTCAGGAGCAATTATTGATCCGGATCGTCTAGTCATTGGTACAGAAGAAGGTCTCTTCTGTTTAGATTTAGATCGTAGTGGTAAGTTAGAGATAATGTGCGTTATAAACTTTATTATTTAAAAAATCACAATATCTCCTTGTAGAAAGTATATATACATATTAAAAATATTTTATTTATAAAAAGTATTTACATAACAGTATAGCAATTGTATTCTATAGTATAAATTGTTATTAATTATGTTACAAATTATGATTTATTGCAGAAATTGCAAGAGTCGGAGAAGGAAAAAAAATATATCTTCTTGAATATGTTATTGAAGAACAATTGATTGTTGTATTAAGCGGAAAACAACGTCATGTACGGCTAGTTCCAGTACGTGCCTTGGATGGAGACGAAGTCGAATGGATTAAAGTCGCGGAGACTAAAGGATGCATTACATTAACAACTGGAGTAGTGCGCCGTAATCCGCTTAATTATTGCTTATGCGTTGCAATAAAGAAACAAGTAAGACAATTAGGGAATATTTTTGATAATGTTTGGTGACAATTAATTTACTTTTATATCTATATATTGTATGTAATGCCATGTTTTATTTTATAGAATGCGTCTCAAATCATTATCTATGAAATAACACGTACAAAAACAAGACATAAACGCTTACGTGAATTAATGTTACCATGTCATGCACAAACTCTGCAAGTTCTTTCCGAAGGCCGCTTGTGCGTTGGCTATCCATCTGGTTTTTCTATTTACAGCATTTTGGGAGATCATCATCCTGTTTGTAAGTAGAATACATATATATAAGACAAATATTTTTTCTTTATTAAATCCATTCTTATTTAATAGCAATCTTTATATTATTTTCACCGAATATTCTTATATTTTAGCTTTGGTCCATGCTGAGAATACGCTCTTAGGTTTTCTTACCTATAGTGCCGTGGATGCATTACGTTGCATCGAATTAGCACGGGGTGAATTCTTATTAGTCTTCCATACGTTAGCGGTATATGTCGACAGTCAAGGAAGAAAGAGTCGAGACCGAGAGATAATGTATCCTGCAGTTCCTACAGCAGTTAGTAAGTATCGATTAACCAACATTAATAACTATATAATAAGTGTATAATAACTATATAACAAATCATATATATTAAGTGTTAAATTTGAATGTCAAGCTGTAAGTTCTCTCGTCATTCTCGTTGAATTTATTATTCTGATAAATTTCAGGTTATTGCGAAGGATATTTATTAGTGTATAGCGAGACTCATATTGATTTGTTTGATTGTACATCTGGAGATTGGTTACAAACGCTTAATGTGAAACGAGCTCGACCGTTAAATATTTCAGGTTCTCTTACATCTTGCATAATAAATGACATGCCGTATGTTATTTATCTCAGCAATTTACGTCAGCGTAAGTATATTTTATACATAACATACATTTTAAATTTCGCCATGTTCGTGTATCACTTAATTTTCATATTTTTAATTTTTATTATTGGATTAATTAATTATTATTTAACAATATTATACATTGTATTAGGAGAACTACTAAATTTGACACCATTAGATACGAGTGGCAGACAAATAACAAGACCACGACGACGATTTTCACTGAGAGAAGGCAATAGAACCGTTCGCCCTACAGATAGACGTTCGAAAATGATTTCTGCACCTACAAATTTCAATCATATCAGTCATATGGGTCCAGGAAACGGGATACAGGTACATAAAGAATTCATTCGAAAAGTTCTCTAATCAATACTTTGATTATTTTATGCTATATGAGCAGAATATTTTAAAAAATCACTATTTTGAACGCTTTATATTGATGTTTATCAACTCTATTTTTATGTTTATTATTCATATATTTAATATATATTTTTTTAAATTATAGATACAGCGTTTGTTAGACTTACCCACGACATTAGAAACTGCTGATCAACAACATACGAGCCATCATAGTAGTTCTCATCTTCACAGTAGTCAACAAAGAGTAAGTAACATGAAAATTGCTACTCATTTAATAAATAAGACGATATATAATTTTTTCAGTTTAATTTTTCTTTCATTTTAATTTTAATATTAAAGCATAAATTTATATCAAGTTTTTTTTAAATAAATTTTTGACAGCTATATGATTCTACGCTTCAAACACCAAACAAACCAGCTCCATTGCCTCCTAGGCATCCCCCTTCTGATGCACGTCGCTTAAGTTCGCATATGTCGAGAAACTCTGGATATTCGCCGCACAACGGTAATTTTATACAAAGCATTTACACAAAGCATTGATAGCTATGGAACGTATATAGTTATATGGAATATATAATGAAATATATATGTAGCTCTAGCAGACAATAAATGTTATATATTTTTAATATTATAAATAGTAAAGCAAAAAGAGAGAGGGGGAGAGAGAAAGAAAATAAAAGATAAATCAAAGTATATATGTATGCATATGTGTTTATAAAGAACATGTTTTTTTTTTATTTTTTTCATTAAATATCATTAAATCGAATAAAATGCACATAGGTTCAACAACATCACGAAGAGGTCCTGCACCACCACGACCAACTGCTACGCCACCTTCTTTACCACGTACTCCAGTGGACCAAATTGATTCTGAATCGATACATTTGCGTTCACATACTCCACTCTCTCTTGGCAGTATCGCGTCGTTACATAACAAGGTATGTTAATTTCGTTATTTTTTTATATTGGTGAGTCGATTATTGTAATAAAATAAAAAACAATTCGATCTTTTTAATTTATTATAAATTTATTTATGTATGTTTATCGATTTTTATAATAAATTACGCGTCGTATATGTATAAATATATACATACATATATATATATATATATATATATATATATATATATCTTATTTTTTAATATAAAAGATAAATAAAAAATAAAATTATAAGACTGAATAAAAAAACTAGTTGGAAAATAGATAAATAAAAGCGCAAATGAATCTTTGAAAATCTCCCAAGAAAAAATAAAATTTAAAATATTTCGTTCATATTCTATTTAAAATCAAATACAATTATCAAATGTAAAATGAGATGAAACACTGATTAATTCTCAGCATAGACTAATATAAGATTTATTCTTTATAGCTGAATTTCTCGTACTAATATATATTTATTAGTGTGTGTATATGTGTGTGTGTGTGTGTGTGTGTGTGTGTGTGTGTGTGTGTGTGTGTGTGTGTATATTAATTAAATTAAAAATTATTTATTTATTTATTTATTTAGAATTTAGAGAGGAAAAGCAAAAAGTGTGTATAAAAAGTTTAACTACAAAGAACAAATCTGTAATCACGAATACATTTATAAATATCGCGGGCGCTGTCCAAAATTTTACCATTATAAACTATAGATATTTTTCGTGTATATATGTGTGGGTGTGTGTATGCACGACAAAAATATACATACATATATATATATATATATATATATATATATATATATGTATTTTTTAAGGGATATATACATTTTTTACAGGAACATCCATCTGGTGGCAGCCCTAGACATTCGATAGCTTCGAACAACAGCTCAAATCCATCAACGCCGCCGAGTCCAGCCCACGATCATGGATCATCTTCGTATGATTCGTAGATTTATTTAACACTTACGGAAACCGAAATAAAAATGGTATGTACCTAATGCATACTTGAAATACGATCAATTTAGTATATACATATACACATAGATATATACATACATATGCGCGCATGCGCATTCTTATATTATATGTGTGTATATATGTTAAGCTCGTATTTTTACATATTTTTACATATTTTTACTATCTCCTTTTTCATTCTCCATCTGCTTTTTTTATTGTTGAGAACGCATTTTGATGCGAATCATCGCGTTGACTAATGGATATTGCCAATTTTCAAAACATAGCTATCAAATAATTTGAAATTTAATTTTAATGTTCAAGCCTAACATATATAGTCAGATATTCGTATGATGTACTTTGCAGAAAATTAGTACTCGAGTTTGATCTTCGAACTGGAAAAGTGGAAAATTTTCACGCGATATTTGTCGTGCAATATAATTACGTATATTAAATATTATACAGTATATGAATCTCAAACAAGTAATATATTGTCATAACAATGCGGTTTGACGGGTGCACTGGTACTCTGTGTAATGCGATTATTTATATATATGTATATACATGTACATGTACATATACATACATATGCACATATATATACGTATATATGTATATAATATATATGTATGTATGTACGTATATATGTATGTATGTATGTATGTATAAATGAATGAATGAATGAATGAATGAATGAATGAATAAATGTATGTATGATGTATGCATGTATGTATGTATGATGTATGTATGTATGTATAAATGAATGAATGAATGAATGAATGAATGAATAAATGGATGAATGAATGAATGAATGTATATGTATGTATGTATGTAGGTATGTATGTATGTATGTATGTGTGTGTATGTGTGTATGTATGTATGTATGTATGTGCGTGTGTATGTATGTATGTATGTATGCGTGTATGTATGTATGTATATGTATATGTGTAATACAGTCAATTTTCTTTACGAAATGTAACAGTGTATTATTATAATTTTCTGATTTTTAAGAATTTATATGTAATAATTTATAATGCACTCTTAACGAAGAAATGAATTATTAATCATAAATTATTGTAAATATTTTGACGATTGTTAAGCTCGTTTTGCGATGCCATATCTATTTCTTTCGATAATTGTCATTCTTTTTATCTTGACAAGAATATCTTCAGATTTTATATAACAAAAAATTGGAATCTCAGTCAAATTAACTAGCAATAAAATATAAACTATTTAATGTATTGTACGTATTCTCGATTTTAGAAGTAAAAAAATAGTATCTGCGAACATATAAATATAATCATCGTTATAACCGGAATAGCTGCGCGACTTTTACGATTCTTAATTAATCTCGCGCGAGGAGTATCTTAAGGAGTTTGTCCACCATCGTGCTCTTAATTCTCGCAGGTATGAGAGGCAAAGAAAACAAAGGAAAATGATATATCATTTTAATTTTTCTATGTGCAAAACAATTTTCCAGTTATTATACAGAAAGAAACGACATAAGTAAATGTTTTCATTCATATTTTTATGAAGCATTTCTTTATTTATAAAATTTATAATGATAAGTTTTTTAAATCAGATCTAATAGAATTTACAAAGTTCATAATCATCATTGCCATATATATTTGTTTTGCTTAGACTCATAAAGATGTAGGTAAAAATGGCGTTTCTTAACTTCGAATTTTTTAAAACAAATTAGATTAATTGTGCAAATATGTTATACCACAAAGAGTAATATTCAATTTTTACGTAATTCATAGCAATTTTGTTAAATTGAACATGAATAAACTCCTTATGATAACATATTACGCACACACATAACGAGATTATTATAGTTTATATCAAATGTACTACACAGACTACAGTCGGGGAGACACTGGGGATGCTTTAATTGACTAATCAGGACAAAAAGAATAAAGATTTTTTTTAGTCTTCCCGACCGCAGTTGTATACAGATAATAGTTCTTTCGCGGTAATTCGAATCTTTTGATAAATGAATTCAATAATCAAGTCGAAAAGTTTAGTATAGTTTAATTTATAAAATTATCCCTCGCGTGACTATTCCGTTTGCGACGTTAAGGCGCAAATTAGATACAGTGCGAATCGATTCGATGCCTTATGACTAATGTTTTCTATTGCGTCATAATGCACTAATTATATATGGTATTATTTGGCGTGTGAATAATAGAATCGTGTAATGTGTTGCGAGCTCTTGCTGATAATAATAGTTATTAAGAAAGGTTTTATTGCACTCACATGTACACGCTATATATACATATAGGGTGTCTCGTCGTATCAAAGATACACGGCAGGAATATGTATCGTGTGTATATCGAATGTACTCCAACTGGAAATAGAACGAAAAAGTATTGTCTTTTGACAATTTATCCGTTTATTCTTTGATCGAAGTCATAATTTTTCATCAATTAATATATCTTTCTTAGTGCGGATCATTTGATAATTCCAGTGCGAAATATAAGAAAAAAAACTATTACATATACAGTTTTGACGATTACCTATAAAGGATTACACTTAAATACGTTTTAAGTATAAAACTGTATCGAAATTAAGAAAAATGTTATAAAAAATAAGATGAAAACGAGGAAATATTATCATTGAGTCTAGAAAACCTAAATTATTTTTAATAGATGAGAGAAAAACTTAGGTTTTAAATAATGTGACGTACATGTTACGAATTGCAATGCTTTCATTACTTTTATATAATAGTGTACAAAATGTGCAGGATCCAATACGTAAGATCAGAGATGGGACAGATTTTTTTATTTCGAATAAGTACATTTGTAATTAATAATTATAATGAAATGATTTTTTGCGTTTGGTTTTTTATAATTTTAATTACTCATTGATATAACTCAAGGAGGGAATTTAATTACCTAAATTTAAATTTTTATTTAAAACGCGCTTTGAGAAACAATTAAATGTGTACATTTTAAAATATAAGGAAGATATATACATTTATATATATACATTTATTAAAAAAAAACAGCCATGAGGAAATCATCATAAGGATTGGTACAAGAAGACAACTGTCTCAGGATACTATGCCAGTAGCTTAAGTACGATATAATATTACTTAATGATCAAAAAACTCGAACAAATTGCTATAATTTCACTGATTATAGTTTTATGTTGTGCACATCTTTTATCTAATTTAACTTTCTCAAATTTATGAAAAATTTGTAAAAATCTGCAAAATTAAAAAGGTTGGATTATTCACAAACATAATTGAATAAGAACACGAAGGTATCGCGCGACATTTGAGAAACATTAATTGTATTTAAATACCTTTATATATATTTGCTCTCTCCTTCTATATTATATAATAAATACCTATATCATTATAAGATGACTATTATAGATCTAATAGTCTTATTCTAAATCTAAATGGAAGAAAAAATGTTATACTAAGAAACGGTTAGTATTATTGTCGTAAACAATTGTATCGTACATATAATGCACTGTTATCCGTACTAAAGTAAACGCAAGTGAAATGGGATTTAGAACGAATTATAATGGCAATCGAAAGAGATACGAAATGGACGTACCACTGTACTTACCGATAGAATTCAATAATCAGCCTATCTTCCGTTATTATTGCTTAAGGGTTTAGAGGTGAGAAATATCGACTGTTCATATATTATTGTCATTATCTCGTCATTTTCGTCAAGTTCGGCGATCGATGTATCGATATACGAAAGGAATTGTCATTCCTGTATATATAGCATTGATTTCATATATCTTTATAAATAACGCAGTTTTGGTCTTTTCGAATCTATTTAAAAGATGTAGAAAAATTCTTTACAAAAACTTACATATTACGGATCATCTTGATCTTGAATTATGTTGTAGAGTGTTCATTCCTGGGTAACATGCGCTTGGAATCAACCTGTAGTCTGTTACATAATTTTTGAGATATTTTATGTTGAAGTTCAATAATTTTTACTATAATGAGAGTATATATATAATATATAAGAAAGCAAATAGAAGATATGACTTTAACTTTGACATATGTTATGAATGATTTTGATTAATAATATTAATAATTCTAAATATGTACACGTACATAAGATGTAAATCTGTGCAATCTGCATTTAATTTTGGATAAACTTAACGTCCGCAGTAAATTAACTTGGAAAATACATAATTCATAGAAATCTAAACGAAAATAAACATTATAACAATGTTTTGGAAAGCTCTACATATTAGCTATCAGAATCTGGAATAAAAAATAAGGGATCCTATTTGAAAAAAATCTAATCTTGACTTTAGTAACGTAATCCACGGTGAAACTGTTAACATCATTAAATACATTATTTTGTATCCTGTAACTTTTATCTAAAACATTTTTCTATAAAATGTATGCTTTTCGAAATATCTAACTATCCCGACATATTTTTGATATTCTATATATGTATAAAATTTTTTAAGAGATTCTTTTCAGTCTTATTCCCATACAGAAAAATATATTTAATAGATATCTATCAAATCAAATATTTACATATTTACACAATGTCCATGTCTACTATGGATAATTAATAGATATCTAATAGAATGTATAAAATATCTATATCTCTGAATATAAAAAGAATTAGCGGGGATATCTACTGGATGTGTATATATTATCTACATATCCGTGGATGTTTTATGGACATTTATGAAATCTCGTATGGCGGACATTTGGATATCCGAATATTTGAAAGTAGATATCTAATACAAAGTATGTTCTGTATGGGTTTATAACTATCTATCTTTCACTTAAAATATTTCGGAAAAAAAGCGCTGCTTGATTTCAAATATATATTAATTAGGAATAAATCCTTTATAATATACATATTTCAAGATCAAGATAAAATAAATATAAATCCGTAATCCGCGCATGCATGTGCTATATATATATATATGTATGTATATATATATATATATATATATATATATATATATATGTGTGTGTGTGTGTGTGTGTGTGTGTGTATATATGTACGTTTTGTAAAGAATTACCTAAGATATTCCCAATGACCTCAATTGATTTGCAAGCCTATCATTATTTATATTAGACATATTTTATGGGGCTACTAAAATAGAATATTAATCAATTTATCGTTTCACACATAAAAATAACGATATTATATAGATATTATTTTTTATCAAATATTGAAATGTACGACATTCTGTACGACAATAGATCATACATTATGTATACAGATTGTACGAACATAATTAGCATTTTTTATATAAATTGACAATTATCTTTTTTTAACCCTGTATAATCCAAACATTTTTTTCATTTTTTAAGCAGTAATGTTACTTTGTATTATCATTTTTGCAATGATATAAGGAAAGGAAATTGTTATAAAAAACATTATTTTTATCTTGTATGGTTAATTAATAATTAATTTCTTTTTTTTGGGAGATAATTTTGCTCAAACTAAAATCAAAAAATAACAACATGTAATGTCAATTACATATTGTTTATAGAACAAGATGTACGTTAAAAAATGCTATAATAATTGGGTTATAGAGGGTCAAAGAAATACAGCGTTTTACTCTATTGTTAATCTTCATTGGTATATGACAGTAAGATTATATTATTCATCACTTTACATAAATTAGATTAGTTTTCTTTTTCTATCTCTCTTTTTTTCCTCTTTTTCCCTTGTCTTTTCTTTTTTCATCACTTTCTTTCTCTCTTTTTCTTTTCCTATCGTTTCACTTTTTTCTGTTTCATACATATTTTTATATTAATAACGTATTATTTGCAATATTTATTAAAAACGTGTAGCAAAATATGATTTGCGCGTTAAATAAAAGTTGTATTTTATTGTAAAATATTGTGTGCGAGCTATTATTAGCCAGAAAAGAAACCAAACTTTATGTAACTTATGTTTTAGTATTTCGCCGTATATAACGAATGCCTGTCTGTAGATTTTATAATATTTATATTACTCATTTCTTATCTTTTTCTCGCGTGTAAGACTTCGAAAAAGAAACTAGCGCCAGCACGCGAGACATATGTACTGTATTTTTTCTTTTACCACTTGGAGAGATAAGTTAATTTTTTCTTGTGTAGAACTATATTAATAAAAATAAACAGAGAGCCCACACTTACTCATTGTATTTTTATTTTTATCTTGAAATACATTATTTGTTTGTTTAAGATAAAAATATAAGAATTAAGAATTTTCTTATAAATTTTATATATATCTAAATTATGCATATAATATATTAACATAATTAAAAAATTTGTTCTCTTCCTCTCCTGAATAATATAATTTCATTTAATAAAGAAAACTTCGATAAAGGACACATCTGGAAAATAAAATCTGAAACAGAAGATATTTTTTCATAAGATAAAAGGATATAACTTAAAATATTACAAAATTAAAATATTATTTTCAGATAGCAAATACTAATATATATAATCATAGCATTCAGAAATTTTTGTGGTTATTGTAACATCATTTTAATTTTGGTTGTATATAAGATGATGAATAAGAATCATTTATATATGTATAGAAAAAAATATCTTCATACTATTTAAATTATTATTTGAAAATCATATACAATTTAAATAATAAATATTAAATTGTTATTCTATTTAAATTTTAAACTGTCAACGATAATCAGTTAGCAAATACTGGCATTCATAAATCTTTGTGGATAAATATCATTTTCAAATATATTATTAAAGTTAAAAAAATGAGATCTAATAAATAAAAATTACCTATAGTCTTTGACACTTGATTACAAATCCCATGATTTCATTAAAAAAATTTCTGAAACATAGATAGAAAAATTTTGTGTTTGTTAATAATGAATATTATTCATAATATGTTACATTGGATTTTAGAATCAGAAGTAGCAAATTGAAAAATCATGGCATTCAGAGATCTTGGTGATAAATATAACATCATTTTATTTTAATTTTGATGTATAAAAAATAGTATACAAGTATAGAAGAATCTAGTACACAATATAAAAATTAAAATACCTTATATACAATTTTAAAGTGCCATTTCACTTAGAAATTATGTACAGGAGACCTATAAATAATAAAATAAATATGTTAGTTAAAATTGTGCTATTTTCCTACTTAAAATTTAAATTGATATCAATAATCAGTTAGCAAATACCATAAATCATGGCACTCATAGATCTTGGTGGTAAAACTATCATCATTTTAATACATATTATAATTTTATAGTTAAAAAAAGAATTCTAATAAATAAAAATTACCTGTAGTTCTTGTCGTTTAATTACAAATTGCATCAGTTTAGCAAATTTCTGAAACATAAATAAAAAATTCTATGTTTATTAACAAAGAATATTATTTATAAAATGTTTATGATGAATTTTAGAATATCAGAAGTAGCAAATTGAAAAATCATGGCATTCAGAGATCTTGGTGATAAATATAACATCACTTTATTTTAATTTTGATGTATAAAAAATAGTATAAAAGTATAGAAGAATCTAGTACAGAATATAAAAATTAAAATACCTTATATACAATTTTAAAGTGCCCTTTCACTTAGGAATTATGTACAGGAGACCTATAAATAATAAAATAAATATGTTAGTTAAGATTGTGCTATTTTTCTACTTAAAATTTAAATTGATATCAATAATCAGTTAGCAAATACCATAAATCATGGCACTCATAGATCTTGGTGGTAAAACTATCATCATTTTAATACATATTATAATTTTATAGTTAAAAAAAAGAATTCTAATAAATAAAAATTACCTGTAGTTCTTGTTGTTTAATCACAAATTGCATCAGTTTAGCAAATTTCTGAAACATAAATAGAAAATTCTATGTTTGTTAACGAAGAATATTATTTATAAAATGTTTATGATGAATTTTATAATATCAGAAGTAGCAAATTGAAAAATCATGACATTCAGAGATCTTGGTGATAAATATAACATCATTTTATTTTAATTTTGATATATAAAGAATAGTATAGAAGAGAATATAAAAATTAAAATACCTTATATACAATTTTAAGGTGCCATTTCACTTAGGAATTATGTACAGGAGATCTATAAATAATAAAATAAATATGTTAGTTAAGATTGTGCTACTTTTCTACTTAAAATTTAAATTAATATCAATAATCAGTTAGCAAATACCATAAATCATGGCACTCATAGATCTTGGTGGTAAAACTATCTCATCATTTCAAACATTTTGTATATCATATAATAAATCAATTAATAAAAAGAAAAGTTACCTAATAATTTTAATCTTCCTTTAGATTAATTATAATTATATTTCAGGAATGTTTTTTAATTAGTTTTTATCTAAAAATTAAAAAAATGATTTTATATAAGATTAAATAATTTAGTATTCCCTCCATTATATAAAACATATATAAAATCTTACCTATTATATTGCTATAATGTAATCAAAATATGAAATTATAAAAATTTTGATTGAAAAATAACACCAGACATATCTGCAAAGTAAAGGTGCATAAGGCAATTCATCTAAGCAAATAATAATATATCAAAACAATTATTTATATATATCAAGACAAATAATTTCACATAGCTAGAGCACATTTACTTCTCAGGTTATGTCACCCATAACAAATTATGTTATAACATATATTTAATAAAATATACAAATTAATCGGCCTTCTTAGTAGTTCGTGTTTTTTTAGCAGGAAGGGGTTTTTGGGATTGCAGCACAGCACTAGCTCGTCGTAGTGCAGCCTACAAAACATATTGCATTAGTAACATTAATATTAAAATAGAATTATTCCAATAAGCAACAATTAATTCATATACCTTGGTAAGATCTACACGATACTTGTTCTTCGTTAAGAGTGTCTTTAATTTATAAAGCGAACGACGTGCACCCGCCTTCATTGTACTCCTAACAGTAGCCTTAGCAGGCTTGTTGACTGCCTTGGCCTTCTTGTAGACAACTGTGAATCCCTTCTTATCAGGAGTATCAACAATCCCTACACTCTTGCGATGGATCACACCAGAGTAGCGATAGCTGCTCTGGTTCGTTAAATTGTTGGATTCCTATACATTCATTAATATAACTTTGTTATTGGCTCACTTTTGAAAATTGCAACTAATAATGTTTGTAAGATATTGCGAGTTACGAACTGTGGAAAATGGTTTCTTGATGTTGCGCTTTTTAAGGAGAAAAGCATTGTTGTCGCGGATTATCATCCAATTCAAGTGTGAAGACATTTTGGATTCCCTATAACAATCACATTATTACGTGCTTCTTTAAATTATATTCAGATACATATTTCTCTATTAGATTTACTTAAACTACATGAGGTTTGCTGATGGGTTACGTATGATGTATGTAACCCTAAAAAAATAATTTCCTATAAATATACCCGTATTGCAAAATACTTGATGACTTTGGGAAAGTATCGCGATTATAAAATAAATATTCCAACATAAAAAATTATTAAAGAGATCGAATAAAAAGGTGAAATTATACGTACCACGTGGATCAACAAGAAGAAACGATCAGAAAGAAATTTTCAAGATGGCAGGAAGAAGAATCACAGATTATCTCGAATGTAGAAAGTACTCGCTCAAAATTTTTCTTCGATTCTAGCGCCATCTGACATTTGATATATAACTTAAGCTTTTAAAAAAAGCGCAATTTTTAAAACATACTATTTATTTTCTTACACCTTACATCTTATAATTCCTACAGGTATAATAAATAATAATAAAATTTATATCTCATATTTAATATCAAGATAGTCAAGTTGATGATGACATCTTTTAATTTTTAGGTAATAGGTGGCCGATTCCGTAACAAAATTTCTGTATTTCTGATTTCTTGTATTTCAAAATTTTACAGTAGATTTTAATTTTACATATATATGTATACTCTTAAATATTTTTTTCTTAAAAATATATATTATTTACACATGTACACACATAAATAATATATGTAAAAATATATATTATCTATATGTGTCTTAATATATATTGTTTACATATGTATATATGTATATATAACGATCAAGACAAAAAGGAAAAATATTTCCAAAATAAAAATTATTGATATTTTTTTTACGATATATAAATATAAATGAAACATTGGTCTCGATTAGATACATCACACGAGTTTTTTAAATATCCTTAAAACATGAATCACACGAGCTAATGAAAAGTTAAATGGCTGTTTCATCAAACGGTAACTCAGAAAAGATGCTCGCTAAATCAGTTTTATCATATTCATGTAATTTTTCTAGTTTTTCGTCAGGACAAATGGTTTGAAAGTCCTGCGGGATGAAAATCTCTGTCTCGGACATGTATCTTCTATCGTCTTCGGAGAAACGCTGCAGCTCGCACCATCTCATCGCCACATCCTTGCACGCACATTTCCTGAACGCCAGACAGTGAATATGACGTAGCTTCTCGTACTTGATCCTCATGAATCCCAATCTGCTCAGCGTATACCTCCAAGACTTCATCAGCCTCGCGTTCGCACCGACGTGCTTCGAATCCGGACTCACGATGATCAGCAAGCCACCGACCTTCAACACGTCGTACGCATTCCTGCAGCAGATGTACCTTTGTTTCGGACATGGCAGATATTCCAGCAACAGGGAGAATACCACGGCGTGGAACGAGTTGGCGGGTAGCTGATGAATCTCACGCGTGTCCCCCGAAAGAATTTTCTCCCTTCCAATCGCGATATTTAGGAAATCGCAGCGAAAAACTCCTCCTGTCGCGGGAATTAAATCTATCGCAGTGACGTCGAATGCATCATCGACGTTTAGAGGATTGTAACAACTTCCTACGTCCAATACCGATATTCTTCGCTCGTGAGAGTTTACTAATTGATCTTCTACAAGATCGCTCTCGCGTGTACGATTCTCAACATCTAATTTTTTCAGAGCCATTTTTGCGTTTATGTCCTGTTCTCTCTTATCATACTTCTTTTTATCACCATGAAGAAAGTACTCCTTGCACTGGGTTTTTATCCATTCCATTCTGCAATACGTTCCATTTTTTAAATTATTATCTGCCCAATACGTAGTGGCCAATTTCTGCATAGACACAGCATATTCCTGAAATTATGATGAGATAAAATTTACGTTTTCCATATCGAGTTAATAAAATTAAAAATTATCTATCTGTTATTAATATGTATTATTAAGACCAGGTTGTACCAACATTATTTTAAATTTAAGCGAGACTTAAATATATATTTAACTTTCTTTGTAAATAAATAAAAATAGATATATATTTAAATATTGCTTAAAATCAAAATAATATTGATGCAATTAGGCCTTACAAGTAAAATTAATAAGTATTACAATAAATAAATTATTAGCAAGTATTAATTAAGAAGTATTAAGATAAACAATATATATATTATTAATAAATATTATAATTAATAAGTATCAAGATTAATAAGTATCAAGATTATTAAGATGAACAATATGTATTATTAAAAAATATTATTATTAATAAGTATTAAGATGAACAATATATATTATTAAAATTAATAAATATTAAAGTAAATAATACGTATTATTAATAAGCATTAAAATTTAATTTTACGCGCGCACAAGCGAACCTGCAAAACGTCATTTCGCGCCACATGGCGCTTCCATGCGATCTCGGAGCCATATTGATGACATTCGACGCGCAACAGGGCGTGAGTTCCCTTCACGATATCAGCTAAGCGTTTATGTTCCTCGGTCGCCATTAGATTTACTCAGCGGACGTGACTTTTTTTCTCAATCATCCACGTATTTTAAACACAATGGCCAATATTTCACAATTATTTCATGCATTCGATCTCAATCGGAGCAGCAAATTCACGTGTTCCACTCGAATCTGAACGTAGAATAAATGTAGAAAATTCACATTCGTTGCGGATGATCCAACGACATACGTATACACACACAGATAGACTGTTCCATCTGGAACAATTATGCATGCGCATTTTGCGACACGCGCAAATAATGTTCGTGTATTTCGCAAAAATATTTTGATGCGTAAAACATTTTTTTAATGCCGATAAACTGCGTGCAAAATGCGTATTTTCTTTTTTCAAAATTAAATAATGAATGTAAGAGAAGATAAAGGTCCATTAAATGATTGAATTATAATATATGTTCAACACTGATTGTGGATTTCCAGATAACTTCTCAACATCTGATTTTACATCGAAACATTTTCACAACATTATCGTTTCATCTGGACTAGCGCTTTTGTCATGGATGGATATTTTCAAATTGTTATTTGATTTTGTCCATATCCATATCCATGTCCTGAGGCAATCTCTTTATAATTTTCCGACCACAATAAAGCACCGACTTGACTTTCTGGGAGTATTGCATTTAAACAAACACCTGCAATAAATGAAAAATTAACTTATATTTTTCTCATATTATTCTATTTATTATCTTATTTTATATATTCTATTAATTATTTTTCTTTTTCACATTAATATATCTTTGTTGGATTTATTATATTTTAATATACTATATAAATTGTGCTTTCTTTAACTTGCCTGTGTTGATATTCCAAAATTTAATAGTATCGTTATCGTCACCGCTTGCGAGAATGTTAAATTTGTTAAGAAAGTGAACTGCATGACTTCTAATTTTTGACGTTAATAAAGGATCAAATTTCGAAAGATTGGATTCTACGTTTAATAAATTCAAAGGCTATATGTCTAGAATTTTTGTAAGGTGGAAGGCTAAATCTATCTTTTAATTGGAGGAGACAATGGACATCCTGAGGAATATATTTATAATATATTTATAATATATTTATAATATATTTATAATATTTATAATACATGTATACATACATGTTATATTATAAATAAATAATCAATATTATTTATTTATAATAATATTTATAATAGATATTTATAATATTTATAATAGATAATATATAAGAAATATTATATAAATTATAATAAATTTTATTATAATTTATTAATATTATATAAATTATAATAAATTTTATTTAAATTAAAATATTAATATTATAAATAATAATAATTATAAAATAATATAAAATTATAATGATACATTTTATTTTATTTAAATAGTAAATATGAAAAATTATTTTGACATATATTATTTAGAAAAATTTTTAAATATAATTTTATATGTTATTAAACCTCAGAAAGATATGACAGATCTGACAGATCTGAAATCTAGAATCTCTGCATAAATCTTATCTATATTATATCTATCTCTCTCACAGGATTTTGCATAAACATGGACGAAACATGCTCTCAACATACGCTCACTCTATCTGAATGGCCAGTCTCTTATTAGAGGGTCTCTACAGAATATGGATCAAAGAAAATTAAGACGCCATATTGTTGACACCAATCACACCTCGTTCGAAACGTCAAGGATCAACAACATGGCGGAACAAGTCCTTCCGTCTCTCTCCATCTCCCCCACTCGCTGTCGTAATTCAGCGGATATTTCACACCCGGTTCGATGTTCGATCACTTCCTAATCCGTGGGATAACGCAGATTAAACTCTCACCTCGTACTACGTAATCCGCGCAGAAAAAAAAAACATCCCCATTGACGCTTCTTTCTCTCGAGAGAGCGATGTACGAGTGACATGGCGTAAAAAAAAAAGCTTCTCTTTGCACAACGCGTTATTTGGACTCGCTGGCGACGATGCACGCTCCGGATAAAACGTGTCTGTGCTGTGCGCGTTGCCACCTTTCGCCAGAGCTGCTGTCACAGGAGCACGAGGAGGAGCACGCGAGGAGGCGAGGATTATGAGCATCGCATGTCGACGACCGTCCACGAGAGGAACGTCTCGTTGCTTCCCTCGCCGAGAATGACTTAGGCCAGCTCGTCGAAAACGAAGACTCCCCTCCGGTATACGCGATGCGGAACTTACATTGGGCATGCTGGCTGTTTTGGGTGGGTCTACCGATGCTCGCAGCCTACCCTGTACCCACCTCAATCGCCGCGGGTACATTGTTTCTTTTGCTCTTGAATTCTCCTAGTTTTGAGGGCCGTTGATGTGAAATATTACTCCGGACTCGATTGTTTGTCCATCTCTTGAAATTCTTTATACACATGCGTACACGACATATGCTGTTTTGTAGACAGGAAGGAAGCACTTTTCCGCTTCTCATTTTCCTTTTCTGTAGAAAGAGATGGAGAATCAATTGAAATGCACGAGAATGGGATTAGCTAACATTTGGAGTAACGGTTCTGGGTATTATTGGAACAGGGATTGAATGAAACTTTATTGTTGTTCCAGGTTCACCGCGCACTCATGCTTCTTGGGAACACTACTGGCGTTATGCGATTGCTCTGTCAAGCGTCACCGCCACAGCATTAACTTTGGCTGGCTGCCTCTGTTGTCAGAGGCATAGAAGACCAAAGGGATTCAAGGTAGTTTGAGATCGCTATCAGATTTTCTTAAGTAATGTAGAAAAAATAATGTCATTGCTTTACAGCTCTAACATCAGTCTCTGCATTTTTTTAATTATAGGACAAAGCAGAGAAATACAATCAGGTAACATTGATCTTGCAGGTTCTTTATATCCAATTGCATAAACTAAATAGGAATGTCCAAATAGGAATGTAGTTATAAAATTAATTTAGTTATTTCTAATGAAGGCTTTGTCTACATAAACTATGATTTATATATAAATTAATATTTATATGTAATTATATATATTTATTTGATAAGTTTTTATAGATAGAGTCTCTCTATGTGATTATACTGTAATGCATTCTATACAATATTATAGGGCTAATTTATTATAATTTAACCTAGAGAAGATAATTATTTAAATTTTAAACAAATGGCTTGATTATTACAATTTGTAGCTTGTATAGTATTAAGTATAGATTTTAAGTTTCCTAATCATTTTTTTCCATATATTAATGAGTAGCATGCATAGTATGTTGTATGTGATAAACTTTTATTTTCATATCATCCAACAAGAGCGTAAAATCGTTTTTTCTATTATTATTATTATAGGAATTCAAAGATGGGAGCAGTATAGAACAGGAAAGCACCTTTGGTCGATCTGTTGAAGGATTGGAATTGGATGCCTCCAGGACATTAGCTGCTTCCGAGAGAGTCCAATTTGAACCTTTACCAGTTGACTCGATCGTATCTGGAACAAGAAGCCCTCCGAAAGCTAAAGCAATACCTCTATCGACGCCACGTAACGAGGATCAAGATACGGATCGTTCTATTCTACAAGAGCCATGTAGCGAATGGTTTAATTCCAATGAACTTTACGTACCAAGAGAAAAACTCAAGTATCTTAGAGAAATAGGTCATGGATGGTTCGGCAAGGTTGTTGAAGGTCGGGCAGATTTGGAACAGTCGAAAGGAATCTCGAAATCGGGTGGTGTCGTCGTGAGAATTCTCACCGAGGAGGCTACCACTAGAGAAAAAGCCTGGTTTCTCGGTGAGGCCACGCCGTACTTGAAACTACGTCATCAGAATGTTTTAGCTCTGCTCGGTTTCTGCTTGGAAACTGATCCGTATCTTCTATTGTTCGAGTCGTGTCCAGCTGGCGATTTGAAAGGCTTCTTGTTGTCAAATTGCGACACCACGTCAAGAGACGCACTTACCAAGGAAAATGTTCCAATTCGAATCGCGATAGAAATCGCGGCCGGTTTGAAACACATGCACAGTCACGGCTTCGCACATACGGATCTTTCGGCGAGGAACTGTCTAATCGCTCCGGATTTATCAGCCAAGTTGGGAGATTATGGTACCGGAGTCGAGAAATATCCCGAGGATTATTATATAATAGGAGATCGAGCTTTACCCATCAGATGGTCCGCGCCGGAGAGCTTAAATTGTACAGATACCACGATCGAGACACAAGAGATCACATTGAAAGCCAATATGTGGAGTTACGCGGTTCTCTTGTGGGAGATCATCAGTTGGGGCGAGAGGCCATACAACGATATGAACGACGAACAAGTCATTCAGATGATTCTATCTCTGAAGAAACAAGTCTCGCCAAATGGTACGCGACTCTTGCAAAGCTATCTCGTTAATTGTTCGTCGAATATATGTCAAGTGACTCGCTTGTGTTTGAATGTCAATGCGAAAGACAGACCCTCCTTGGATGATGTGAGACAAATTCTTCTGAACGAACATTCGGTGCATGTGGATTTCGAACAACGCTGGGAGAGTTTGCGCCAGAATGCTTGCGGCAAGCAGCACGTACGAAGTGCCAGTTTGCAAGACTTACGCGGAAGCATCGATTCCGACTATTGGACTCACATCGTGGACGACGTGCCGGCAACAGACATGTTGCAGCAGTCCTCGTTTCGTCTCGGACCAGACGAACAGGTGAGAAACATCCCGGGGATGAAGAACTCCGCGATGTTTCAGGAATCCGGCTCGGAAACCGAGGAGGAGAGCTGGAAGGGTCGAGTCGAAAAGGGTGTTTACACGGAAAAAGTGAAGCAAAAGTCCAAGTCCGTGACGGATCTTATGGTCCTCGTTCACATCGATCCCGATTCTGATGCGGAGTGGTCAATGGGAGCGCAAAACTCGTCGGAGAAAAACGTCAAGAAGAAGTTATCCACGACCGGTAGCGACAGCGATCTAAGACACACCGTTCCCGCGGACGAGTTCGACGAGGCACTGAAGAAGTTACGGGATCCACTACCGAATAATAACAATAACGTCGCTAATAAAGTTAGATCGTTGGAAAATTTAGAGCGACCGAAACTCTTGACTCTTACTATGGATCAGGGTCATACGCCGATCTTACGGTTATTTTTGGACGACGCGGGAAAAACTCCTGAAGGCAACAACGACACCCTGTCCGAGATGAACGCGGATAACGCGCAGCGCAGTGAAAAACACGTATTGAGACTCTTGTCGAAAGGAGATCCGGATCTTCCTCTTCTTCGCTATGTACCTGACCAAACATCCTTCGTCGAGGAAGACGCGGAAAGGAAAGAAGAGACCGATATACCGTTCGTTAATAAAGAGACAATCCACGATGATATTTCCGATCGTTTCTCGAGTAACATCGAGACCGACCAACACAATACGGTGGACGTTTTGCTCTGGAATCACGCGTTAGACTCCGCTTTGGAGCACAAGGTACCCGGTTTCTCGGACGAAGCGGAATTTAACGAGTACGTAGAATCGGCATCGACTGAACAAGGTAATAATGCACCGGAATTAACCGTGACCGCCGTATCTACGCCGGATGCATCGAACTTTTGTAACGTCTATTCGATTTATAGTACCGATGATCATTTTTCTACAGCGGAGAACGCGCAGGTGGAGCAAAAACTATTGCCAGACGACGATGAGGAGCGAAAGCAACTGTCGACGCCGGATGATGAGCAGAGCTCCGATTCGGGATTTCGGGACAAGGAGTCTTGCGAGGAAGAGGAAGCGACTTGTCTGCCGACGTCTGGCAACCTCTTGCCTTCGGCCAATAACGCCGCTACTTCCGGATCGTTCTACACCGAAGAGGAGCCATTCCAGATTCTACTCGAGCTAGATACTATTCTCGACGCGGAATATTACGCTACTGCCGGCCCTGAAAGTATAACAGAGGGTACAATTTCTATTCCCGGCGTTGACAAGAGCTTGTCGCCTTCGAAAGGAAATGTCTCGAATCATATCTCCACGAATGTGAATGAATTGAATGTAGAGGAAGAACAAGTTGACGAATTGACACAAACGGTCGATACGAAGGAGAAATCAAACACGATAAAAAATATCGAGACGATGGAAAAAAAGAATATAACTTATGAAACTCAAGGATCTAAGGCTGAAGATGACGCTCATCGATCGTACGATTCGGAAACGGAAGTCTCTTTAAAAACGGACGCGAATACTATTTATTCTCAACGAGACGAACAATGCTCGCAGGGGGATTGTGAAAACGAGGATGAAGACAGTTCCACAGTGAGTTTACGTAGCGACAATTCGTATGTGTCGTTCAACATGGAGGAGGAATTTGTAACTGCGATTCGTAATGAACTCAGGGAAAAATTGCCACAGGCTCAGATGCAGATCGTAGAATCTTTGGAAGCTCACGATGACGAAGGCTCAACCGTCTCCAGCGATATGTACAGTAAACGATGGGACGACGAGGATGCTGAAGATTCAACCGATCAAATGGGCGGAGGTGTAGATATCTCGATCAGGTACAGTTTTTTTCATGGAAAATAGATCTCAATTTTAAATAGCAAATTTATAAATTATCTTAATATCGCTAGTCAATTAATCAAAGGTTCATTAGAAATAATGTAATCGACAAAACTAGCCAAAAAATTTTTTGTTTATTTGTTACGACGTTTGTTTCGACCATACGCTTGTGGTCCTTTTCAAGTATATAAGATCAAATAATAGATATAAATCATAGTGCAGTTTATATCTATTATTATAAACAAAAAATAAACAAAAATTTTTTTGGCTAGTTTTGGTCGATTACATTATTTCCAACGAACCTTTAAATAGCAATTTATCAATGTAACACCTAACGTTTTCTGTCTTCAGATACAATGTATACGGAACGCCGCTTAGTCCCATCTTAGAGGAGCGAGAGAGCACTGTCACTTCTGAGTCTTTAATATCAAATTCCAGGGAAGCGTCGATCGTTTCGAGAGACTCGGTACCGTCCGAGGATGTGTTATTAGTCGACACGCGTACCAACGAAATGATATTATTGGAAGGACTGGCAGAGCGATTACAGGAAGAAGATCGGGACACCACGAATGGTGATTTGTCCGAGGAGGAAAATTTAGATTATACTTGTTCGATGACGCGTCCATTAGAGGATAAGTCGCGTGGAATCATGAAAGCGAGCGGAGGCGCACCATTACCAAGTCCTGAGGAAGAATCTAAATGGCAACAATTGCCTTCGTCCTTTCCATTGCCTCTTCCTTTACCCTTGCAAGACGATCTAATGTCGACGAGTTTCGCCGAGCTTGAATGTTGCAGTCAAGATGAAGATGAAGAAGAGGAAGAAGGAGAGGAAGAAGAGGAAGATGAAGAGGGAGAAGAGGAAGACGAGGACAACAGTTCCAGTTCCGGTGAATTTGTGTGGAAGGTAAATCGTTTCTTTTCTGTATAAAAAAAATATCATTGAATGTATAAAAGTTTTCTACTATTTTTATGAAATTTATTATGTTAACAAATTATACAGTTCAATCATAAAAATAATTCCCATTATTTTTCAACACTTCCATTTTTCAGATAAGTTATAGATTCAGGATTAATGAAAAGTGTGCTGTTTACTTGCGATAAATTCATCAAGCCATTTTCTCCTCTTCATCTTTATAATCCTTTTCCCCCTTTAGCATACTCACCGGACATAGCGCTTTTAGATTATTGTTTATTTCGATGTAACTTTGTCTTACAAAAAATTTAAAAATGTCGTAGAAGTAAGAAAATGACTTGATGAATTTATCACAAATAAATACTAGACTTTCTATCGATCTGGAATTATAACTTATCTGAAGAAAATGCTGGAAAATAATGAGAATTACTTTCATGATTAAACTGTACATGTATATAATTCGTTAATAATAAACATTGAATAAAAAATAGCGGAAAACTTATTTATACATTTAATATATTAAAGACTTTTATATAATCGTTTTTCTAAATCTAAATTCGCTCCTGCAGAGATACAACGAACCGCATATCGAACAGATACGGATCAAAAGTACCACCACGAACGAAGATGACGAAGCGACGAGTACGGTGGTGAATACCGAATTGGAAGAGGAGTTGGGTGTCGATGAAGATGAAGAAGAAGAGGAAGAGTTTACGCCTTCGGCCTGGAATGCCGCTTTAGCACCTCATCGATCGGCATTGAGGTCTCCGGACAAAACGTTAAAATCTGGGGTAAGCAGCGTTGTAAATAGATAAATAATACGATGTATACAAAATTTTATGTATGTGTTTGTATGTACATATGTATTAACATTGTCTTCTTTCGTTCTTCTGACTGCTGCTTAGGATGAGTTGGTAGGTGTGTCGATTACTTAAGTACACAGAGCAATGCATGTAATTTTAACATACCTCTCGCGTGACTCTTTCCCTTGCAGACATTTAAATTTGAGGTATTTAGCGCCAGTACTTTTTTTTACAAACAATACAAACGCTAGACATACGTGAATATAGATGTAGTTTGGAGCGTATGTATTTTCTCATAATCGGACCGACGTCTATGCCATTTGTCCAGGATCAGAAAAAGAGCGTATGGTTCAAGAAGCAACGATACCACTGTGTGTATGAGTACCCGAAAGAAACACCACCTGTGGACAATCAGGCAGACGTTACCACTAATTCAGAACCAACATCGTATTCTGGTACATTTTATGCATATGATGAATATTTCGTAAATATTTTCTAAACTGAACATCAGATTTAAATATCTAAATAAATATTTAAATATCTAAATAATTAAATAAAACTTAAATAATTAAATATTTAAATATCTAAATAATAATATTTAAATATCCAAATTTGAATAAAAGTGATGCTTTTCCTATGTTTTAGATTGGGAAGAAATGATCAATGAGCCGCGATTAGATATGTATCCTTTAAATTACGACGATGCCAATCATGCTGGTACGTTAGAGTATGAGACGAGAATTTTGTAGATAGATCACATGTGTATTTTGAAAATTTCTACATGTAACATATTACATGTTTACTTTTCTTTTCAGGAAACGATGAGTTTTTTGTTACCAGTTCGAATCGACCCTTTCAGTTTCAAACTGGCGAGAGTAGGTGCGTCAGCCAATTTTTTCCCGGCGCGAATGCGACTTTATTGTCTGATGAACGGGATGAAACGGATAGCTGTCAACAAGAGCCGCACCAGAATAACATTGATTTCACCAACGATTATGATCAATGTCAACAGCATCAACTAGGAGAGTTAAGACATACGAGGGATCGTTTGAAATTAAATCTAGTATCATCGAATAGTATACCGTCCGTTCCGTTCGTTCCTGCAAAACAGCCGCACGCGGAGCAGTTAGACATTAAAGAGAATCATGAATTGGAACTTGAGAACGTCATCGCGCAAGACCAATGTATCGTAACGAGTGATGATAACACGTTGCCAAAGGTGCCTCACGAAGATGTCCAGCCTGATTCATCTTCTACAAGAAATTTTCAGCGCGATAGCTGGGAAACTCTGGGAACCACCGAGAAGTGAAGTGTTTCAATTCGTGTTACAATGAAACCTACCTACAATGAAACTAAAGTCTGTGTTGTGTTTTAAGAAAGAAACAATTTAGTCCGTCCGAAACAATCTCGTGAAAATGTCTCGTTGATTTTCATTAACGCATTCGATGAAGTTATCACCGATGATACCGAGATTACTCTATCATCGTGTGACACGAACAAATGTATATAATTTGAGGAGGATGTAGCAGGTATTATTCGCGGCTACAGGTCAATCGGTTGTCTAGTGGATTTTGTTAGCGCGGAGTTGTTATAGTTGTACTCTATGTATAGTAAGTACGGAAAAAGCGTGTCAATATATAAATAATTGCGGCTTTACTGTCATTAAAGAAGCTTCCTATTCGCATGTGATGGTCTAATAATCGTGATAGAACAAACAAGTAATGACAGAGGGACACTGTATAAAAAAAATGGACACAAGTATTAACTCTAGACAATCGATTCGTAGAAAAGCTACATCAAAGAATTGCGATAAACAATTCGTTATACGTGTAAATAGTTATTGTTTATAGCGTAATCGTTAAACGAGCAGTAGTGCCTATGTAGAACGACACGATTATTTTTGCGATTATCTATAAGAGACATATAACCGTCTTTCGCGTTATCTTTTCTTTTTTTGTCCTTTACCGATACTCATTATCACACGATATTTCTCGATATTAAATATTATTAACAAATCCGCTCTCTATTGTGAAAATATTGTATAGCTGGATATACAGGATATATCATCCTACTTATAAAGACTCTTGTCTTGAGAATTATGGAAAAAAATTACTTGCACGACTAATTTTTTACATAATATATACACGCTGTATCGATATATTTTTACTTTTCTTAGATCTGTGATGAGAAAATACTATGCGTAGATCGGTCCAATTTTATATTGAATTTCAGAAAAAAAATGGAAAATACGCGAATTACGTTTGAATTGAAAAATCGCGTATATCGTACTAAAGCGAGAATCTGCCAACGATGTTAATTTTTTTCGAATATACACGTAATACGAGATTACGTTACAGAAACGTTTGCCTTTTCTATGGTGGTATATGATAAGTGTCTCGAATTTATTATTTACTTTTATGCTAATGAAATAACTTTGTGCCCAACTATTTTTCGCTTCAGTATACTATACTGTGCGAAAGTATACAAGCATTAATAAATCTACGATATGTGGTACATTGTAAAAGATATTTCTATAGATCTCTAAAATATACTCGCGAACGCGCGATAAATATTAATACGATCGTATAAATACTATTTTAGAGAGATTTTTACAAGTATTTATTTGCGATAATGTATATTCCATTGTATACTTATTCATACTGGACACACGGATAAATCATTGGAAGCAGAACAAATCGATGAAACAGAATATTAAATGTAGTTGAGCATCGTGGAAACTGTGTGAGTTTTATGTCACTATTGTTTCACGAATGCGCGCGATATTGAAAAAGTTATGCGAACAAACCGCTATTATAATAGTACCACGAGTGCTCCATCACGTCTCTCGCTATCACCACACTATTATTATTACTATTAATACTGCTTTATGCTCACTATATAAAATGAAATAGAGAACAATTAATATATTGTTATACAGAAAAAAGTACTATTTATTCATCAACTCCCTAAGTATATATTTTTATAAATATCCTAAAATTTTATATTAATTTTCAATTTTTATTTTCACAGCAATAAATCGCGATATGTACAAAACTTCGGCATTGTAGATAAATCTATACATTTATACATCGCATTTTATAATTATGTAACTGAGACTTATGGAAGTTTTTACAATACTTTCATTTGCTTTATATCTCGAACAAATTGTTTTTCTTTTCAATCTCCAATAATAACTTTGAGGAATGAGAAAAATACTTTATAAATGACGTTGATGATTACGCCACAAAATAATCTGTCCATCGTGATCCGCGGACGCAAGTAAGGATTCATCATAATTAAAGGCTAAAGCTAACGCAGGTGTCGCGTGACCAAGTAATCGATTGATTCTAGCGGCCTTTCCTTCCCTCGCTAAATCCAGCAAGTGAACGGCTCCGTCTTCTGATCCGGTAGCTATTAAACATGCACCCATTTGTGGACAGAAGGTAGATCTCAATGGGTAATGCCTATAAAAATATCGTATAAAAATGTAAAATGATAAGATTGCTTGAATTTTATGTTAGAAAGCTATAATCAATTAATAAATTGAAAAAAAAAAGATATATATGTATATTTATCTTGCTTATACTTAAAATAACTGTTGTTGTGGATATATCAACGTTCAAATATTGAATATTTTCAGATTCATAATCACAATTGATTTTATGCAAGTAAAAATACCTAATTATATATATATATATTTTTTTTTTCTATGACATGATACTTCATCCAATATATAGAAATCCATAGAAAAAAAGAACATTTATAAAAAAAAAGATGAATATTTAATATTCTTACACTGTGATCATAAGTAACAATATATTAAAGTGGAAAAAACGAAGAATATAAACTATGTAAACTAAGAATATATGTAACAAAATATTACCTATGCTTGATAGGATACTTTTTCCAAAAATATAGAGAACCGTGATTGTCTGCGACACGATACAATAATACGGCGTTACATGCGCTGCTCACTAACAATGCTGCCCAAGGAGCATCTTTTGATAGCCACGAGCGCCAAGAAAGGCTGGTTATCATTCCGCCGGTCTCTTGCACTCGCTGCAACTTTGTCAACCGTCCTACACCGGGTTCCAATCGAAAAGACACTACGACACCTCTATCATTGCCAGCCCAAATCACCGAACCGCCGCTGCCCTCGCAGGCGAGGGAAAGAATCTAGGAAATATATTACAAGATATATTACGGAAATTACAGTAATTTGTGTGCGTATAAACCTTCTTTTTTTATAATTCTTTTTTCTCGAGAAATAAAAAACCGACCTTTCCACCGATTTTGCAGGACCCACCACGCATATATATACCAGTGGACACGTTCAAGATCTGAATCAGTCCTTGGGAATTACCTGCCACGATGAGATTATTATTGGCAGGTAAAAAGTTACAGCACAAAACTTCTGCTCGCTGTTGATCGTTTACCACTCGTAGACAAATAGGCTCTACGTCCTGGCATATTTTCCAGAGTCGTATTGTCGTATCGAGAGAGGAAGAGACTATTAGATCATTACTGATGCTCCAATCAAGCGCAGTCACGCCGCCAGAATGACCTTCTAATAAAGCAATAACTTTCGGAGGTGAGCCAATGACTTCGCATATAGACAGCGTACCATCCAATGACGCGCAACACAATTTGGATCTATCATTATTAGCGAATTTCAGCATCGTTATGGCTGCCTTATGCTGATCGAAAACATGATGAACACCGGCGAACGCGAAATTTTCCGCTGTAGATTTTCGTTGCGCGAGGTGATGCTTCAATCTGCCTTCTGATGAATCCTCGCTAATCGTATGACTTCCCATGCTACTTTGCTCCTGTTGTTTCTCCCCATAACGTCGACGTAATAATTCCGATCGCAATTTCAAATATTGTGTGCTGATTTCAGGATCTCTGGAAGGTTTCTCACGAAGTAGTTGATTTCTTCGACGAATATATAACATACCTGACAGGATATCGAATGTATTAAGTTTAATCATTTCTTAAATCATCAGTTATTTCTTAATATACACATGCATACAAATAATATACACATAATATTATTATTATAATATACACATATATGCATACAAATGAAACATTACATACCCAGACTAGGGAACTTGTTAGCTCGTAATGCATTATACTTTGCATCAAGCGCAAAGACCTGTTGATGCCACATAGTGGCCATTTTTCGATGTACTAGCTTTGATACTAATTTTTAATTCTGTCATCAATGTACCTCACGTTTCATAATGTATGTTTAATAAAAAGGAGTATCTCCTTTTTTTTAGACATATGGATATCTTTATCAACTGTAAAAAATTCATTTTATAGATATAATAAAATTCCATATGTTTAAGTCTGCGTAAACAGCTGTCAAAAAAGTGAGAATAGAACAAGATCACATATATATTATTTTCGTTCTTATTTTTGTCTGATTAAATGTTGCCTATGAATACATTTTCTTTTTCGAGAAAAAGACGCTTTAGTTTTACACAAAACTTTTCATTTAATACCAGGCATTAAAGAAACAATCGTGATCGTAAACTTCTCGACGAACATCATTATAGCATTCGATTAATTATTTTTTTCAATTTCTTCAAGTTTTTTTTTTACAGTTAGTGTATCGTCAACCGATTTTATATTTTTGACACCTTTTACTCCATAAAACTTATATCTTTTCTTTCTTCTTTGTATTGATCTTGTACATAACCTTTCACTTTCTTTCAATATTCCTTACATTGTATTCTTGCTGTAATTACTCTTTGTCCCTGCATTTTTATTTTTATTATAATTTTACCTATTTCTTTGAGGAAAGTATACATAATTCTTAATGGTTTCGAATTAATTTCTTTTAACCATTTATCTATGTCAATTCCTTTTTCATTTTTGTGTTTTGAGGTTTGCTTTCCATCGGTCCATATATATATATATATATATATATATATATATATATATATATATATATATATATATATATATTCAGCCACACATATTCACATACCACACGACGCGAGATGACAGATGACACATACGCAAGATTATTTTGTGCCACGTGCGCAAGCGTTCGTTCCACATGTGTAAGCGTTTCTGGTATCTCTGCTTCAATTGTATATATTTTATTTCGATAAGGGATATTATTGGAAACCTTGCGAAAAAGAAGTAAAAAATATTATATATATATATATGTAATATATATATGTAATATATGGTATATGAATATGTTAATTATTTTTGTAATATTATGATACATGCATATATATTTATTTATATGTAATATTATGATGCATGTATATATATTTATTTACGTGATATATTATTGATATATATTGTTAGAATAAATCATAACAAAAAAATATTATTAATTTATATATGGGTCTCAACGAAAGAATGACCTTAGCACGTGTCTGTTAAATTAATTGATCACGTGTTCAATGACATGCGCATGCGCAAAAATCTTGTTCAAAGATTCATCCTTTTGTTCTGTATATACATAATATAATTATTGCGGTGAATTAAAAAATAAAATTTCAAAAATAGCCATCTTGTATATACATACAACTATCTTAACGAGTTAACTACTTTTAACAATTGAAAAAACTTTATAATAGTGTAATATGTTATAATAGTGTAATAATTGTGTACTGGGATGAGAATAGATTTTGGAAGATCTTTGGAAGAATCTTGGAAGTAACCGTCAAACGCAGGATTGAAAAATACAAGTGTGCACCACGGGTATGTAAATCACTAGACTTCTTTAATACATTTATTCTTATATATCCATATTTATACACAGTAGTAGCTATTATTATTATTATTATTATTAATTATATAATAGCGATAGTGGCGTAATGCATTTTGCACTCGCATTTAATCGGTTAATATTTGACAAAAATACAAAAATTATTAATGTATAATAGTTATATACCAGAACAAACGTGCTTACTCTGAATCTCATCTTTCTTTTTTTTCTGTTTTTTTTACTCAACTTCTTCGCATTAATTTTGCATCCCTTCTCTCTCTCTTTCTCTCTCTCTCTCTCTTTACTTTCCATTATACATTACACTTAGTATACTGTTTTTTTTCTTTTTTTTTCTATTACCCTAGATTGATTCGAGTATACACGAAAAGTGCGATTGGACTAAAACATACACTAAGACAAAACGAAAAACGTTACTTGTGATTCTCTCTCGACTTGGTTTCATCAAGTCGTTTTTTTTTTTATTTTGACGCTCGATTATGTTCGAACGTGTATATTAAAGTCAGTTGTTAGTCCACATATTCGTGGGGACTACGACGAAGACAATGTAGTCTGATGTCTTTTTTTCCAGAGTTGACGAGTACAGATTTATACTTTTTCTCCCTCCGAAAAAAAACAAGGAAGCTAAACTACATTTGGTCTTCAAAGTTCTTCAAAACGCATCCTATATATTCATACCGCATTTATACGAGTTTATGTGTGTATGTATTTATATATTTATATATTTATATATATGCAGTCGCTATAACGAGAGTTTACTTACAACTATTTACTTCTCGCTTACATTAGCGGTATCTCGTAAAGCTTTGACGACCGTCTCACATTCGGTCGGTCCATTCGTGCTAGAAGAAACATTATTACTCCTCACGTTTATATTGTACACGCGCAAACTGTAACAATTCTCTCACAGCACCTTTGTGAAAACGCTTCATGTACATTTTTTTCTTTCGTTCGTGCGTTACACTTGACCGTACTCTTGCTCTTTCACTTTTCTCTTCTCTGTTTTTTTCATCCGAAAAAACATCTGCGATCATTCATTATTCACAATGCAAAAATGTAAAGTATGTTTTCAAAATATGTGTATATGTTGTTCCGTTGGTCAATGTATTATATTTCGTTTTCTGATTAATATGTATACAAAGTATCTCCCTCCATTGTTCAATATTTTAATAGAATATTCCGGAAGTAAAATAGAATTAGAAAGTATGAAAGTCAAGTATCGAAAGTCAAAATAGTTTTTGAATTATAAACAATCAAAATAATCGCAAAAGTAATTTATAACATTATAATTACAGTTTCATCATCAATATTCATTAATTGAAGCTAATAATATTGATATTTATCAGAATCTGTTACTTATATCAATTACTTATATTGTCGGATATTGATTTTTGTTTTGTCGTTTCTCTCATATATGGATAATATATTATAGTAATCCATTGATTTAATTATTATATAGATTATATAAATTATATTCATCCTTTTCTAAATATATATTTTGTTAAATTATTAAAATAAACAGAATTAAATTTAAACAAATCAAATTTAATATTAAAATTTGTTGATCAATTTGTCAATATATTAACTGCTATATGTAACACTCACATATGATGAAACTTAATTGCATAATGCTTATAATTCTATGTAATATCATACGATTAATTTTGGCCATTTATAATTAAAAAATTGATCTCAACATTTTTATGACTTTCGAGATACTATTTTGCTTTAAAATATGCTATTAAAATATCGTATATTATGATTGTGAGAGATATCTTGTATAGTGACACAATTCGCGCGTCTCTAATCAACACGAATAATGCAATATTAACGAATGTGTACACCAGACGGAATCGATTCCTTTTTTTATTATTATAATCTCAATGAAAAAGATATAAATATCGCTATTATTCATTGTTACTGCACAAATTACTTTATTCTCATTTGTTTTAATAATTCCCACATTTTGTCTTTATCTTGATCATTCTTCTTCTCCAACAAAGATTTGTATAACTCATATCTATCGTGTATTAAACTGTACGATTCTATTTATTGTTGCAATAGAAATTATTACATCATTTCTTTGCACACATGCTTTGAGCGAATATCTGTTTTTTGAATAAACTGTAAAAAGCTGCACTAACACTTTTGATTTAATAATGTCATTAATGCTTTTCCAAAAGCTGTGATATAATAAAGATTAAGATTCATTAATCTGAAGTCTTAATCTTTTCTTTGAAACAAATTATTTCTAATTATCTTTTCCATACATTTAGAAATGCACTAATATGCCAAATGATGATCCGTAACGTTTCTAGATATGTTTAAATATTTTTGAAACCTTGAGATAATAATCATATGTAAAAGCTAAAGCTTTCAAATATAATTTTTATAAATTAAATTATTTAATCACTAATTATGGCATCCAATCGCCAATACAAATTAGTAAACGAATGAAAAATAAAAAATATAATGCACTAATTTGAGAAATGTAATATATATTCTCGTAAATCATAATTCAAGAGATTCTGATAATAAAACATAAATCTCAATTGTTGTCAATCTTACAAAAAATAAGAAATTATTCTGCATCGCTTTGCGATTTTACGAGAATCTGGTCAAATGTGCGAATACAGAGAGAGAAATAAAAATAGTATATAGGTACAAAAATAATAAAAGAGCAGAAATATTTAATTACTACGTTTCATACTATGGCATATTTTCAATTTTTTCGTAACGATACTGAAAAGTAATATGAATTACATATATGGCTTCGATTTTGATTATATAATTTCAATATAATATATATGATGCATAAAATACGCTTTTTTAAAATCAGGAATAATAGAAAAATCAATTCCAGTCATAAAGATGTGTTCAAATCAATTATGTGTAAGTGCAACAAATGCAATCTTTATCCAAGATCGTTATTAATATATCGAAAATAAGAACGCTATAAATTTGTATAAAAACTTACGTTTTCACACGTACATCTTTATTCTCGCATTTTTAAGCGACACGCTATCACAAAGATGCAATTTTCCCATATTTATTAAATCAAGATGCTTACATTATACACGAGAGAAAAAGAAAAGAGAATATAAAGTTACACTATGTATCACCCTTTTTAGCAGTCGATACAATATATTCGAAATTGCACTGTAATATACAGACGGGAGATCTAGTGCAAACCTAACGGATGTTACCGTTTTCTTTTCCGGTATGTATCGTACGACAAAATCACGATACTAGCTTTGTCGCGTTGTGCGACGTGCCTGAGATTTGTCATAAATTTTATGACATAATTATGTCATAAATTTTGACATAGTTATGTCATAAGTAGAATTTATCATCATGATCGACATAAACGATGATTAGTCTCCCGCAATCATTGGGTAAACGCTACAATTTCATTTGGCACGAGTGCAATTCGCAATTGGAAAGAATATGCAAATTATTATATGAAATTTGCATGTATCATTGCGTAAAATGCAATTATTTTGTTGTAGTATCGCATTTCTATTCTGATGTCTGCATTGAACAAGTTTGCGAGAATGTGCTTAACTGAAGAAATAAAGATCACAATAGATTAATTCATTATCGCTACAAATCGTTGAAGGAAGCATCCGGTTAATAATTGCATATACCTTTCAATTTTCAAAAATATTCACTCTTTATTCCATTCTCATTGACGTCGCCAATTGTTGAAAATAACAAAGAAAAATAATAGTATATTATTTTTTCCGAAGTCAAAATATCTTTCTTTCCGATATAAACACGAGTCAATGCGGAATGAAGAGTCAAAGTCTCGTACCATCTGCATTTCACACAATTGTGGCAAACGATTTCATTTCTTCTTTTACTAGTAAGATGTTGGATCAATTTGCCATGCGTGTGTGTCAAGTTCGAAGCTCCATTTTAATTACTGCCGGTCCAATAACTCGGACTGTATCCAGGCTTTGCTTGAGCTTTATTCTGCGAACTCGTATTGGACCTCTGGCCCGTGCTGTTGCCGCCATCCTGATGAAGCGGTTGATGCAGCTGATGCGGTATAGTCGGGATGAATAGATGCGGCGTGCCGTAACCACCGGGCAAGCCAGCGTTTTGGCTACCCGTAAGACCGAACGGTGGCGGCGTAGCCGAGTGGAAAGCCTGCTTTTCATAAGACTGAAAAGAAAAAAACCAATTTATCAATCATCAATATATACGCATGATACATACAGAGGGTAGGATTTCCAACGACGTTTACGTTCGTAAATGACTACTCACGTTTACTTTTCCGAGAGCCACGTGACTCTTAGCGTACATTGTGGCGCTGATATCCGTCGCGGAAGAGCCAGCGGTATTAGTATTTCCTGTGGAAGTGCCAGTTTTGCCGGTCTGCGTGCCGGTGTAACTGCTGCCAGTGCCTTTGTACTCCCCGGACGGACCGGCGGAAGCTAGCGCATCATAGCTCGCGCCGGCGCCATAACCGGATCCGTAACTACCTGGCTTGGCACTGTACGCGCCGCTGTTTGTACCAGCGTTTCCGGCCGTCGCTATTTGCTATACGACGTAGTAAACCGACTCGATATTAGTATTGGGAGCTCGTAGTATTAGATATTAGTAGATATTACAACTTGTATTAATTAGCAGATATTAAATATTACAGCTTGTATTAATATTAGATATTATTAATACTATTATATTAAATTTAGTAGTGTATTACTAGAATTATTTTTTAGCAACTTAACATTCTTATTAGAGAGAATAATCAGTATTATTTAGTAATATTAAAACTATTTTAATTATTAGTATTATAAATACATATTATCATTAATATTAATGTACTCTTTAAAAAATTAAAGTATCAGCTCGAATCTTAGGATTGATGAAATTCAAATGTATATAAAAATGATCATGAGAACATATTCTCGGAAACTATTTTAAAGCTGTAAAATCTGTTTTTGAATGCTGTTCTTTTCTTGACAATGATTTTTATTTGGATTACAAATCACTTTCAAATCAATCGAGAACAATCGAAAAAAAGAAAAAAAACTTAAATTTTTATTTTACCGAAACATTTTTCTTACAATTTGAATTAACGCCCGAATTTTTTGGAAAGTTTAAAATAGTATTGATACTTAATAATAATATCTAACTTAATTTAATATTTAATATTTCATTTACCGGATAAATAGCGGGAGTTCCATATTGAAAACCTCCCGGCATAATTCCGCTACTGTACGTAAAAGCGTATGCATATCCCGGAGGAAGAGTGGGATTCATCATTGGCTGTTGCGTAGCAGTCTGCAAATTTTCATAAAAATTTGGTAAAGTTTTCGTAATATATATATATACAGCATCTTTCTCGTGATTATGCTTTAAGAAAAATCGACGAGACTCACCTGCTGCGACATAGTGGAAGGTACCGGGGATGCGTTACTGTCGTTTCTGGCGAATCTTGCGTCGCTAATACTGGTATAGGCTCCCTGCACACCTTGCACACCTTGAACGCCTTGCACGCCGGAGAGCGCGTCACCTCTACCACCACCGAGACTCGTAGCGGGACCGGTAGTCTGATAGCCCAGGGCCGCGTCATAGTAACCAGTAGTTGGCTGCACGTTAGTCAGGGAAACCAAACACAAAACTACATGCATACACTGTGTACTCCAAATACAAGAAGGCTAACTAACGTCTATAGTTTCTACACGTACTTAGGGAAAAATAACATGCGGTTGGTTGGATTTATATATATATATAATAATATATATATATATATATATATATATATATATATATATATATAGAAAGTAAAGAGAGATGTTTAAGTTGTATTTATTCGCGACTGAAACTATTGCTGGCGATAAATCAAACTGTAAATCGCACGTATCTATAATGTACTTGCTATCATCATCTCACACTCCTTCCATATTTATATAGATTAAAAAAATGTCTGAATAAAACGAACGAAAGAGGGAGAGAGGAAGAAGGGAAGAGAGAGCTACAAAGTGTAATACAACTTCCGACCATTTTTACGCATCACCACGCGACAGTATAACGCGTACTTTCATACAGTTTCACATGACATTACTCGTACACATCAACCTACATGAACTCAAGACAAGAAAGGAAAAAAAGTAAAAGCTAAGATAGATCGGAGATCGAAACAATCATCTTAAAATGATCAACATCTAAATGTCAAATGTAAGCCCCACAGTTTCAAAAGTGCTTCTTCCACCCTCTTTTAATAAATACATTTACATAAAATATCGAAAACCCGATCTGTCTTTAATTGTTTATTTCATAACAAACTTGCTACAAAGAAAAACAGATTTACGTTGTCATCGTGAAGGCATTCATACAAGATTGAAAAAATTTCGATGAAAATATTGGAATTACGAGCAGCTACCAAGCAATAAAGAAACGATTACCTTGGGAATTTTCATATTAGATAATAATATATAACATAAGATGGAGTAAGCGCGCTTCTTGGAGTAACATATATTAATAATTTTTTCTCCATAGATGTAACATTCAAAATTGCATTTATGTAAAGTCAATTAACGTCAAATAAATTATATTATTTCAGTGTACATTACTCCAAAGAAGTTAATTACTCATGAACAATGCATTTGCACTAAAATGAATCATAAAGAAACAAATGGACTGATTGTTTGAGAAGCAACTGACCATATGAGGTATCCGTTGCTGCACCAACTGTAGGTCTTCATAGCTGTACACTGGTTGCTGAAAAGCCGCATATGGTACACCAGCTTGACCCATAATGTACTGATGACTCAGCATCGGAGTCATACTTCCGGCTGCACCACCAGTCATGTTACCGCTGTTGCCCGTCACTACTCCGCTCGACGTGCTTTTCGGTACAGCTGATTGAGAATACATTTCCGTTAATTGAATTATTGAAAGGATTTCAATTGCGATTTTTTTCAAATATCTACTAACCATTTGAATTCGTTACTTTGGTCTGCGAACTATTGACGGAGGTTGAAGTGAGACCCAACGTCGGTGCGCTAGTTGTCGCGAGAGAACTGTTCGACGTCGTCGCACTACTATCATATTGCGAATCCTTCGTTGTAGTACTGTTTAGTTTATGATTCGTGTGAGACGTTGCTTGCGGTTGGCTAGCATAACTGCCATATGGACTCGCATAAACCTGCCGAGAATTGATTCAATATTTAGTTACGTAAACTTGCGTTATAACTTGAAAAAAAAAGTTTGAAGATAAACAGGATAAGAGGAGGAAGTTGTACTTACAGATTGTGCAGCACTTTGATAAACACCGGAATTCTGTGTTATCGGCGATGTAAATGTTGTAACAGAAGATTGATAAGCAGGCTGATAAGCTTGATATCCTGCATTACTGTTTGATACTGTGTTGGTAGCTACGCTTTGCGCGTATTGCGATGTTGTTGCCGCTACGTATCCACTTGTAGGCTGATAGACCTATTAAGAAAAGTAAATAATTGTAAAAAAACTCTCACAATTAAATCATCAATATTTGAAATCAGATAACTACTATACTTATTACCTGACTACTGGTGGTGGGTTGATTGTAACCGGAAGTTACGGACGCCGATGCGGAAGGAGACGCTTGATTGAAGGTCGACGCGTTAGATTGCGGGAATGACGTTGAGTTGTAACTCGCCTGTGAAACCGTAGCTGTCGCGGAATAACTATTTGTACTGGCAGCTGACGCATTTTGGAAGGTGGACTGCGAGGACTGGTTGTTCGAGTATGCGTTGTAAGTGCTCGGCGTACCACTCGATGGCTGGAACGATGATTTTTGCGACGGTTGATAAGTCGTCGTACTCCCATACGTCGGCGCGTTCCCAGGCGAGACTTGTGACGTAAAGTCTTGTTTAGTTATGTCCAAACTTTGGCCAGTGCTACTGCCACGAGTGAAATTTTGGGAACTGATCGAATGCTCGCTCGATACTGGCAAATTGTCGGTACTTGATAACTGAAAATTTTCATATAATTGTAAATTACATGTATCGAAAATTGTCATATATATTTATAAGTAGTTATATGTCAAATGACTTGTAACAAGAGTAAATTTTACCATCTGAGAACTGGCGTTGAATGGTGCGGTGGAAGTCTGCGTCGTTTCAATGTCGAGCGAATTACTTGTATTGGCAGTGTTTACGGTGCTCGCACCAGAAGTCATGTCTACGCCGGGAATTGTACTATTTGTGGAATTGTATTTCTCGTTTGCCGAACCGTCGATGGAGCTTGAATCGCTACTGAATTCAAGCGCACCGAATTGTACATCGAGAAATCCGATTCCACTATTCACCGCGTCGCCTGGCATTTCTACAGCGCTCGATGGTATCTTTGATGGTGGAGGAACTCTTGGACGTTGTTTTGTTTGTCTTTGGGGCTATAAATATAAGTTTGTACATGTATATATATAAAAATCATTTAAGGTGAAATTAAGCATGAAAAGATTAATTATACATAATGTGAAAATTTATTAAACAGTAAAACTGCGATATTTTGGTTTGATTTGTACTTTGCACATTACAATTTACTCTTTTATGCTCTATCTACTACACATGTGCAATCGTATATTTGTAATTTCTCACAATGGAATGTAACGCAAGTGGAAACATAGATGAAAGTTAGCTGCTCTTTAATTTTTTATTTTTAGGAACTTTCCACTTTTTGCGAACCATTTAAGACGATCAAAGTTTGTATATTATAATACCTGACTAGACATAGATGACGAAAACGATGTTTGTCCAGCCGCTTTCAAGTTTTCGCTCGTCTGCTGAGTAAGTTGCGTCAGATATTGTGTTTGCGCTGCTGTTAATACACCACTGCTAATAGCACTAGGTTGTTGCGGCAATTGCATCGTTGGTAAGCCTAATACAGTTTGTTGCTGTTGTGGTTGTTGTTGAGGTTGTTGTATCAAACTCTGCTGCTGCAACGCGGATATTTCCGACAATTTTGGTAATTCCTATAAATTGTATCAAAAAAGTATCATTAAAATATGAAGTAAATGGATGTATAGAGTCTTATACAATTACTGCATAATATTCTCTCTATATCTTCTTTTAAAGATACAATTTCGACAAAATAATCGAAAATTTTGAAAGAAAGTCAAAAGTTACAAATAAATTTTAATTATAAACGATCAAAATTGGCGCGAAAAAATTGCACGCTTGTAATTATATTTATTCATGTACTAATTCGTCATTTGTCAACAATTTTTATACATCAAAGCTGATATGGATTTTAATTGTATACCATCTTATTTCATGCTTCTCATATGTGAGCACCATATATACTATGGCAAATAGTTAATATATTGACAAATTTGACATTAAATTTAATGATCCTGTTTAAATGATAATTTTTTAAGAATTATTATTTTAAAAGAATTGAATAATTTGTATAATGTAATATGAGTACATATATAAATATATATATATAACAGTCAAAATTTAGTCAAGTTTTAATCATTTGTTAATATTAGCTAATTACCATAATGTATATATTATCCACATATGAAAATGGTCAAATAATATAAAATGTAGTAAAATTTATTTGTAATATTAGACGATTAATTTAATTTATTAAAAATAAAAAAAATCATAAATATAATTATAGATTTGCGTTTCACGCAAACTTTGATCTCATAATTTAAATTTAATTGGAATGGTTTTATAATATGGAATGTTATATGATTGTGAGACGTTATTTTTAAATCTTGTCAAATCTTACTTCTTGCTGGAGCAATGAAAGATTAACGCTTTGGCCCGATTGCGTTGGTGGTATTTCCTGAGGCTTTGATTCTTCTAAAGCAGGAGGAGCTTCAAGAATATTCGTGCTCGGTGTAAAGACCTTAGTATCTGCTAAAGATCCTGTATATTCCTCGTTGTCCCAGTCTTCTGTAGAATCCAAGTTATTCCAAGCATCTATATACAGATTATCAATTTTAATATGTATATACACACACACACACATGAGATGTACAAAATCGTTTTTTAATATATAAATATATATATATATATATATATATAATTTATATTTATATTATAATTGTATTATTTGGTTGCTATCAAATATGTGTGTGTGATATCTTAAATTTGTAATATATTTTTTAATTTTATAATGATTTTGCTAATGATATTCCTATTATATTAACAGATTTTCATTTTTTAAATCTAATTTCTTATGGTAAAATCTGTAGGACCATCGCTAGCAAAACCAATTCCATAATTCTTCATTAATATATAAATATCACGTTACTTTCTTGCATAATTATTATTTATTTATTTACTGAAGAGAATCTTAAATTAAAATTGAATGTATTTATGGTAATTCCATTACACAATATTACAAACAACGTTACAAACTATGTATGTTGAAACTGTATTTTATTCTAAGCCTGTATTGCTAATTATTATAAATATATAAAAATGTTTTTTTATTATATATCTAGTAATTTAACTATAATATATAGTTATAATTTGGGAAAAGACAATTTTGATCACAATGTAGATTAAGACTTACCTATTTTTGGTTCTTGATTACTCTGCTGCTGCTCCTCACCTGTCCAGGTGTCAATCGGTCGATTAAAGCTATGAGCCGAGCCAGACGCTGGATCGTTGCGGTTCGCAAATGTTCTTGGACCAAGACCTCTGCCACCGCCACGACCTCCACGACCCGATCTTCCGGGCCCACCTCTGCCTCTTCTGCTATAGCTGCCATCACGAACACCATCCTCCATGTTCCTCTCATTCTCCTTATTTTCTCGTCCACGCCCTATATTTGCAAACAAAAATTTTTTAAAAATAGTTATTTATAAAATAGATGTGTAAAAATTCGTCTGTACAAGTGTATTTACTTTCAAATCTTACTATAAACATATAAGAAGAAAAAGGATAATATATATGCATATGTACGTCTACTCTTATATAACAAAAATACGTCTACTCTTAAATAACAAAAATAATAAAGGCATTAAAAAAGAGTTCAACCAACATCCACGATTGTCGTGATTAGCACGACCTCGCATACGCGGAGCACCGCCACCTCGTTGATTGCGTCGTTCCTCCCAATCGCCACTGTCATCCTGACCACCTGATTGATCCGCATTCTGTTTTGAACCGCTAGGCTGACGCGGCTTCTTCTTTTTAACTTCCCATTCTGTTTTCACTCCCTCCAAAAGATCGTTGACGGCACGATCCAAATCTCCGTCGCTATCATGCAAAGCCATGATCACTTCGTCTTCCGAACGTCGAGTCATATCCATGACCTGCTTGATACGTTCCTTCAGGATAGGATCCTCACCTCCCGCCATTCTGGTGTCGATAATTTGTGCGTGCCGGATCTGATTAGTATTTTGCTATATAACAATCGTTAGAAACAATTTTCTTTAAAATGTTAGTTTGACAATTTTATGAACGTTATATATTCAACATCTTATCTGTCATTTAGTCATTTAATCAAACAGAGATCAAATGTTTTATATTACAAAGAAAGAAATAATCTTAAATAATCTAAAATATTAATAATTTATGTACAATACACAGTCAAGGTATTTCTTATTTAATAGTTTCGAATCTAATAATAATAAAAAGTAATTATTTCATCTTATCGCAGAAATATTATATAAGTTTTTATAGATTTTAATCACTAGACATGTTGTATGTTGTATGTTTTTATAGATTTACGTTAGATAATGTAAGATAGATGATAGAGTTTACTAACCTGAGCCTTGTCATGTTTTGTCGAATCTGATTTAGTTTGATGATGATCTGATTTGCCATGTTGTGATTTGTTTTTATTGGCGCCTCTTCCACCAGAGGACACCAAAGATTTATTATTTGAACTCATTGCCAACTAAAACCTCACTCACTCACGGTATCACACTATGTACACTCTCTATTTACAGTCTGAAACAGAATATGTTTGTTATTACACATATGTTACATACATTTGTATCGTGATGAGAGAATTAATTATTAGATTTCTGAAAATGCAAAAATACATGTGTATTCTAGTAGAAATATAATATATATGTATGTTTATATATGAATATAAACATATAATATAAGTCGTATTAGAATCTGAATATAACATATGTATCTTATTTTGTACAAAATAAATTATAACTTTTGGAATGAGTCAGTCAAGTTGTATTTAGCAAATATTCCATGAATATCCTTCTAAAACTTCCAACAATATTAATTTTTACATTCTTTTTAATAGTATTTTTCAACATGAATTAATTTTGTTTTTATGCAAGTTACACATGTATTTTATACAAGTAATAAATATATACGCTAATAGAAATTAATTTCTCTGTAAAAGCTTGTAAAATCTAGCTTGTAAGGCAAAAATCTGCCACGAGGGACATTTTTTATCACCGATATTAAAGGCGCGAAATAAATTAATTAATGAAAATCTAGACACCTATCTATTAAACAAAAATTAACAAAATATCACTAATATATTCCTATAAAAAACTGATAATTAATATATCTTTCAGCGTACAAAGAACAGTTAAGCTGGAAAAACGTGCTCGAGACCCCACGAGAGATCCCAAAACCCCAAAGGTTAGGATCATTTAACAATAAATAGAAGATACGGAGAATCCATTTGGAGGAACGATGACGAAAGTTAAACGGAATGTATTATTATCGCCACGACGATTCACCGCGATGGACAACGACCCCCTACTCGCTTTCCTTCGTCGATCCCCGAAATAGAGACTTCCCCGAAGCGTTTCGTAAGTTCCCCAGGAAAATCGTGCGAGGGACTCGGCGGGAAACCCGTCGATCTCCGAGGAATTTCCGCGAGAAAAAACCAACGATGGGACCCGATCGCGGCAAGAACGAGAGACGGAGAGAGAGAGAGAGAGAGAGAGAGACGGAAAAAAAAGGAACACTTTGTCGGGCGCGTCGTCGGCCGCTCGCACGTTTATACCGCACGTTGATACGCGAGAGAGCCCGGGGCGAGGGGAGGCGCGAGCGGAGACGGGCAGAGGGCCCAGGCTCTCGCGCTGGAGCCTCTTCTGGCGCGCGCGCGCGCGATTCCCTCGAGCGAGGATGTTCCTTCGCAGGGCCATGTGCACGGACGCCATTTCTGCTCGGCGAGAGGCAGGCTTGTCAAGCATCGTCACGGCGGTGCATTCGCGATGGATTCCCGTAACGGGGAGACGTCGTCGGAATGGCCGTGCCATTTCTCTTCCGAGAAAGGACGATCGCGCCTTGCTTAGGTAAACTCACACGGTTGTTACGTCGTCGACGTGGTGGGCGCGCGTGCCTCGCTCGGTGGGCGGAAGCGTTTGCGGGACTCACGGCACCTCGGCGCTTGGGGCCGTGGCGCGCGTAAAACTACGAAGAGAAAAAACAATGAATTCGCCTCGTACCTGCGTTAATGCGCTCAAAACGCAGCTCGGTCACGTGACCGCGGTCGGTCCCCCCTACCCTGATGCACCAGGCACCTAACCAGCGCCTAAACAGCGCACCGCTTCTTCCTCGCTCTTGCTCGGGGGCCGGGGAGGGGAGCCTGCTCTATGTGCGCAGCCTAATATCCATCAGGCCTGGCAACCTGAAGCGAACTGAACGCGCCACGTTTCACCGCAGGCTCGTCGCGGCCAATGTCCGGATGTGCCGGAAGTGCATAGAAATCGTAGCTGTGTAGTTGTACACATGGATGGAATCCTTTGTGATGCCTTGGTTGGATATATATGTGGATCTGCTGGGAAATAAAGTGTAATTGATTGTTAACTACTTAGATAATCGAGCAAATTAAATTATTAATCAAGTTAATCATGTTGCTGTTATATTAATTGATAGGATGAATCGTATTCTATCATGTCACAGTTTTATTAACGTTAACAATGTTAGCAATATGACGGCAATTTTGTAGACGGTTAACCATCTGAGTATAGTTTATTTGTCTATGGCGTACAAGCGGAAATCATGTTCGAAAATTTATCATCGGATAGAATAGTATTTAAGTGACCAATCAGGATAAAGAAACTTTTGCTATTTCTACTCGAAAGTAAATTTTTGAAGGCAATATCGGAAAATTTTTGGTCTTTAAATTTATATCAAATTACATAGATTGAAGATTGGAATTCGACCTAGCAACAGAACAAAAAGAGCTAAAATTTCTTTGTCCTACTTGATCAAATTTCAACCTTCAATCTCAACTTCAATACTGTAGTCTGATACGGATTTTATATGATTAAATTTTTTCACATGCAATGATCTTTAATAAATATAGAAAATTTGTTAAAATATGACCTGATATATGATTTAATTTTCACGCTATTTATGATCAATCAAAAAAATCTTCTCGCTTGAAATTGATTTTACTACTATAAGATATGTACTGATAAGAGTTTATATATTTAGATGCTCTCTGTATACTTTTTCTTTGTTCTTTCGAAATGTTTACTAAAAGAGAAAGAGAAATAAAAAAAGAGAGAGAGAAAGAAACAATGGCCGCATTCAGCGGATTCAACAGTTACTAGATTTTCCGATGTAATTCGACGCTGATTGGTCGGATCTGATAGTAAAAACCAATCACGTTTGATTGCTACTAGTGGTCTTGAATCCGCTGAATGCGGCCAATCATATCGGTAAAAATATTGTTGGCAACACTGAAAATTATCGTCGATCATTTTAACTGCAGTTGGTCAAAGTGACCCTTTTTAGTTGTTCAAGATAGTTGGAACATTGAGGTAGTTTTGAGTGTATGTACCAGATTATGTGATTGGTAATATATTTTAATTTTTTAATGTTATATTAATTAATTTTATTTTTAGAAACGTATAAAGGAAAGAAAAAAAATATTGATGATCTTTACGAAATATTTAATCGATTCTTTTAAATTACATTTTATTTATTAATTAAAATTTTGTATGTTTACAAAAATATGCAGTTAAGAAGATGAGCAGTGAAACGCAGATCGCAAGTATAGTGAATGATATTTTAGTAAGTATCAGAAAGTATAATTTTTAGATGTGTTATATGTGTAGATATATGTGTGTATATTTATTTTCTTTCTATTTATAATTTTTTTATGAAGTCTTGGACGTAATCTTAATTCTAGAGATCTAGATATATAAAAAGAAATTAACAAGATAATTTTTTTCTTTCTTTCTTTTTATACATTGCATCTTATATATTTCAGAAAGTCGAAGCAATAGAGGAAGCATTTAGTTGTGTTCTTGTCCATCAGCCTAACAATGAAAGCGAGAAAATAACAACATGGCAAAACGAACTAAAAGGAGTTATGACTGGATTAACAAAAGAACAGCAGGAAGCTGCTGTTCGTCAGTTTCTTTCAATGGCAGCAGCTATGACTAATCATAGACGATTACAGTTATTATTATCGCTGTTACAAAACTTAGTGCAATCAAATGTTTTACCTGCTAGGTATATTTTCAGATAAATGAAAATTTTGGTCTTTATCTCTTCTCATTTTCTTTCCAGTATTAAATTTTCTATTTTTTTCAGATTAGTGTGCGAATGTATTTTGAGTTGTGATAAATTACAGTATCAGTTGGAAGACTTTTGGGTCGAATGCTTTGTTCTCATTCGACATATCATTGGTGGAGTTGATTATAAAGGAGTTAGAGAGATCATGAAAGTAGGTTCTTATTAATAAATGGTTTATATCATATTTTTAATGTGCATGTAGAATACTTCTCACATAATACTTACTTGGATTAAATATTGAATATTTAAATTACTTACAAAAATATATATTTATATACTTATGTTCTATATCTTGTTTTATACTAGGGATGCAAGGAAAAAGCGCAAACTATACCAGCTCGATTAAATGCATCAGTACAACCACAATTAAAAGCTTTAGAGAATGTTATTGAATATATTTTCGATAGAAATGCATGCCTATTGCCAGGTTATTTTATTGTCAATGAAATACAAAAAGCTTATCCTGATAACAAGAATTGGCCTCATTGGGTAAGTAATGAATAAATTTGATAATATTCAAGTATTATGAATATTAGTTAATTCTTTAGCTATTGTCAAGGAAGGACTTGGTTACAATATTTCTAAACATTCATCCAGCCATATCTTTTAAATCTAAATTGTTATTTATTATACATTTTTTGCCTTTATATCTCTATATTGTTTATATATCCTTATATTCCTTTCTCTTTCTCTTAGTATTATAAATATTATATTTTTAAATTATATAAAATTTATGTTAAAAATTATTCATGCATGAAAATATTCCTCAAAACATAACTCTAACAAAAATTATATAGAATAAAACTTAATTTTGATACTATATTAACAATTTTATACATTAATAATAAGCTATTAAATATCTATTAAAAAGCTATTTTTAAAACAATTTACTTTATGAAAGAACATTTTCTATTTGATATCACTAAAGCAGTGACTGAAAGTAAAATAAGTAGATTAGATAACATGTGAATAATTTTTATCCAAAATTATTGTTCCAACGTTCTAAGAATTTTTTTGGTTCTAAAATGTTACAAATAAATCAATGTTTTAAAGTACAAATGTTTTAAAGTATATGTTCAAAATGCAGACTTTTTATTTTACACATTTTATACACACTTTTATACACATATTCGATGTGCGAATAAGATTTTCTTGTATGGTTGGACCATTTCTGATGTGACGATTGCACAATGGAACTGTTCTTCTAAATCTAATATGTGTGGATCAAAATTATTCACATGTTATCTAATCAACTTATTTTACTTTTAGTCATTGCTTGGGTGATATCAAATGAAAAATGTTCTTTTATTAAGTAAATTCTTTTGAAAATAACTATTTAATATTATATATTAATATATATTTGATATTACATATATATGTCACATATGTTTCAGAAGTTGGCAAAATTGCTTTCCAATTTTGTTGAAAGTTTTCGAAATACTGCACAAATGGTATCTATAATAGGGCACTCAAAAATGTTACCAGTAGTTGAACATACAGGATACGCAGATCATTTGATTAATCCCTGGTTATTGGATCCTACTACATTGAAATTTTCTTTGAAAGGAAACTTACCTTATGATCCAGATTTACTTAAGCCTCAAACAGAATTGCTCCGATATGTTCTGGAGCAACCGTATAGTAGAGATATGGTCTGTTCAATGCTTGGTTTACAAAAACAGGTAAAACTATTAAATCAAAATATGAGTTATATACATAGATGTTAATATAAAAATTATTGCAAGATGTAAATAAGAAAAAGAAATTAAATATATTTATATAAAACTTTTAGTTTTGCATATTGAATGCATTTCTCAAATTATATGTATTAAAAACCATTGTATTGACCTTAATACATTTTTATTTATATAATAGCATAAGCAACGATGCATTGTCTTGGAGGAACAACTGGTAGAACTAGTCATACTCGCAATGGAACGAGCCGAGAATGAATCTTTACCAGCAGAAGGAACGGACGGGACTGTTGCTAATCATTGGGTGTGGTTGCATTTATCCTCACAGCTCATTTACTTCATCCTCTTCCAATTCGCGTGTTTCCCAAGTATCGTCATGGCAATACATGATAAATTGGCGGGCAGAGACTTGAGAAAGGGCAGGGATCATCTGATGTGGGTCCTCTTACAATTTATTTCCGGCAGCATTCAACGAAATCCATTGTCGAATTTCTTGCCTGTACTGAAATTGTACGATCTTCTTTATCCGGAGAAGGAGCCCTTACCTGTCCCGGATTATACACAGGCATTATGCACTCATCAGATGGCCATTACATGCATATGGATACACTTGCTGAAGAAAGCTCAATCCGAACCAGTCTCCAACATTCACAGACCTATACCACACACATTGAAGGTTCATCACGAGTTCCTACAACACTTAGTTATGCCAAACACATCTCTCTGTATGGGTTCGGATTATCGCATCGCACTCTTGTGCAACGCTTATTCGACGAATCAAGAATACTTCAGTAGACCAATGGCGGCATTAGTCGATACTATTCTGGGTACACAGAAAAATCAACAGCAGCAACCCTTGCAGATCTTACAGAATACCGCGGCGCTGGCAAATGGTCCGACGACGCCGCTCTCGATGTCTATCCTGGATTCATTGACCGTACACTCGAAGATGAGCCTGATTCATAGTATTGTCACGCATGTGATTAAATTAGCGCAATCCAAGAGCAATATGGCGCTAGCGCCGGCACTGGTTGAAACTTACAGCAGACTATTGGTGTACACAGAAATTGAGAGTCTTGGTATCAAAGGATTTATTAGTCAGTTACTACCGACGGTCTTCAAATCGCACGCTTGGGGTACGCTATACACTTTGCTGGAGATGTTCAGCTACAGAATGCATCATATCCAGCCGCATTACAGAGTCCAGTTATTGTCGCATCTTCATAGCCTCGCAGCGGTACCACAAACCAACCAAACGCAGCTTCATCTGTGCGTCGAAAGCACAGCTCTACGACTTATCACTGGTCTCGGTTCGGCGGAGGTACAGCCACAATTATCTAGATTCCTGTCGGAGCCGAAGACTCTCGTATCTGCAGAATCGGAAGAACTCAATCGAGCATTGGTGTTAACGCTAGCGCGTTCCATGCACGTGACTGGTACAGGTGCCGATAGTCTCAGTGGCACATGGTGTAAGGAATTATTGAACACCATCATGCAAAACACGCCACATTCTTGGGCGAATCACACTCTACAGTGTTTCCCGCCTGTATTGAGCGAATTCTTCCAACAAAATAGCATACCGAAAGAGAACAAGCAACAGATTAATAAAGCAGTCGAAGAGGAATATAGAAATTGGTCATCCATGAGCAATGAGAACGACATTATCGCACATTTCTCTGTACCCGGAACGCCACCATTGTTCCTATGCGTTCTGTGGAAGATGATACTAAAGACTGATTGTATTAGTCCCATCGCGTACAAGATTCTCGAGAGAATCGGTGCCAGAGCACTATCAGCCCATCTTAGAAAATTCTGCGATTACTTAGTGTTCGAATTCGCGAATAGCGTTGCTGGTCAACATGTTAATAAATGCGTCGATAGTATCAACGATATGATCTGGAAGTACAACATAGTGACCATCGACAGATTGATACTTTGTTTGGCGTTAAGGACCCAGGAAGGAAACGAGGCACAAGTTTGCTTCTTCATTATACAGCTATTACTATTGAAAGCAGCGGAGTTTAGAAATCGATTGCAAGAATTCGTCAAGGAGAATTCACCAGAGCATTGGAAACAATCGAATTGGCACGAGAAGCATCTCGCCTTTCACAGGAAATTTCCTGAGAAGTTTGCACCTGAGGGCATTATGGAGCAAACTAGCGGCGGGCCTAGTCAATATCAAAGTCTACCCGTATATTTCGGAAACGTGTGTCTTCGTTTCCTGCCAGTTTTCGACATAGTAGTGCATAGGTATCTAGAGATACCACCTGTTATCAAAAGTTTAGAGATACTGTTGGAACATTTGGGCTGTTTGTACAAATTTCACGGTATGTCAAATTATCTTCGCAAAATGATATCAAAAAGTCTATTATTTTTCGCATGGCAATTAATAAATTGTCCAAGTCAAGTGTTCAAGTGCACTTTTTTCTATTTTACAATTAGAAGAAATAGACTTTTTTTCAATAATGCGCAGGTTGCATAGCAATTCAAAATTTGTTTTTATCGAAAATAATTATAATTAAAACTTATTAATATTTTTATTAATATTTTCAGATCGGCCTGTCACATACCTCTACAATACATTACATTATTATGAAAGAAAATTGCGAGATCGACCGTTGTTGAAACGTCGATTGGTGTCTGCTGTTTTGGGATCATTGCGGGAAATTAGAGCGCCAGGGTGGGCGCTTTCCGAGGCTTATCAAAAGTACATGACGCGCTTAAACGATGACGCAGTGCAATGGATACCAGAATTGGATTATTACATTCGCCTTGTACAAAGGATCGTAGAAAGTAAGGCAACAAAAGTTTTTGTTACACATAATATAAATAATATTTTCATTTTACTATTGATTTAAACTGAAAGATATGTAGTTTTTCATATGTTTATAATCTAAAAGTTTTTAATTTTTTCCAGAGATTAAAAATCTCTTTTAATCAAAAATTTATTTATTTCCATATTAATATACTCTTTGAGAAATTTTGAATTTTTCTTAACAAACATGGAATTATAAATGAGACAATAAACATAGAAAGTGGCTTATTTTAATGAAACATATTTGTTAAAGCAATGTCTGGCACGGCTCATTTTCCTGCTACCGATTGGAGGTTCAATGAATTTCCAAATCCAGCGGCACATGCATTATATGTAACTTGTGTGGAACTTATGGCCCTTCCAGTCGCTGCAAATTTAGTAGCTAATTCTCTATTAGATGTTGTGGCTAAAGGGTACTGTTCTTCTTTTATTTTAAATTTACTTATAATTATGTTATTAACACAATGTGATTGTAAACATTAAACTTGATTCATATATAACTTTTATTTTTATTCTATATACAGATATACCGTTGTACCATCAGATGAGATACATTTGTGGATAAATTGCATCGGTTTACTGTTAGCGGCACTGCCGGAATGTTACTGGTCAGCATTACACGATCGTTTAGTGGAGACCATCAGCAGTCCCGCTTTAGCTAATTGGCAATACAAGAATTTGACGCCATTTCAGATATTTAATTTCAACATTACACATAACAGCTTACTAGAAAATAAGTACAGTTACATGCTTGCACTGGCACATTCAGTATGGCATCATGCAGGTGTAGGACAGATCACAACAATGCCTCAGTAAATACTACATATAAAATAATTTAAGCTTAATATTTTCGTAACTTTTAGAAATATAAATTTTATTATAGCATTATATTCATTATTCATCATCACATATTTTTATTGTATTGAATTAATGAAAAAATATTTCTTTATAGATTTATCAAAGAAAAACTACAGCCAGTTGTGAGCAGTGAAGAGCAATTGATATATGCTTGCCATTTGATCGGTCCTACATTAGTGAGATTTAATGCAGAACGGCCACATTGCGTAGTTGAACTCACTGTTTCTCTGTATGAAATGTTGGAACGAGTTGATCACACTCAAGCACATTTGAATTATATGGATACCATTTGTGATTTATTGTATCCTTTATGTATATGTATAATCATTATAATATCACAAAAATATCAAAAATATCAAAAATATCAAAAATTTAATGGATCATGTGTGTATGTGTACGAAACACTTTTAATAAATTTTACTAAATATTTTTATTATTTATTTTTCATCTGATATATCTAAAAGATTGTAAAAAGTACATATAAAATAGTAACAGAGAGTTATATAAAATTAAAAATAATATTTCTCTGTAAGATTTCACTTGAAAGATATCAGATCTTATTTCGTAATATTTTTATTATCGGATCAAACATTTTTATAGTCAGATCAATACATACATATCTATATCATTTTATGTCTTCCTTAATGATTATAATAGATATCACATCAAGTACATGTTTGTTGGAGATATGATGAAGAATGAAGTGGAATGTATTATACGAAGACTGAGACCTGCATTGCAAATGAGGCTGCGTTTCATCTCTCACATAAATATAGAGAAAATTCATACGTCCTGAGACACAATTATTCCCGCTACTGCGGGAATAACATCGTGACATGTGTGATTGACTTTCCGGATTAAATATTAATCCGGTCATTCCAAAGTATAATTATTAACACGAAACATAAATAAAAAATGTATATTTCTTTTAGTCTACGAAATGATCATCTTGTATTTGATATATTCGATTATATACGCGAATAAATGTGTGTTTGACTATTACTTTTTTTCTTTTATTGTATTTCCTACTGATTTATAGATTTATTTTTTTCATTTTTTTCTTTTTTTTTAACGAAAATCAGATAAGGAAAAATAAATTTAAAAAATGAATAAAAAAATATTTATATTTAAAAATTCTTTTTATTATAGCCATAGATTTATATTTTTTTATATTTTTAGTACAATTCTTTTTACTAAAAATTTTTAATTGAAAAAAATACACATTTTATAATTTTGATATGTGATTCATGAGCAATATAATGCATCACATTAATTATATAATATCATCCGCATCTAGTTCTTACTAGCTTAAAACATTAAATTTCCGATTGAGAATATAAAATATGATTCGCTTTAATTTCCTTAAATTTTCTTAGTAAAAGTAATTTTAGATGCACAACTTTCACATTAAAATAGTTTGAATAATAACGAAACATTTGTTCTTATTTTATAAATAATTTAAATGTTTAATGTGTTGATAAAAAATAAAATGTTTATAATGACTTCCGGATTCAACGATTTCCCTAATATTTTTTTAGCTTATGTTGTTTTCGAGGAGGTGTAGGAGAGATTTATTAAATTAAAATTTTGATTTATTTAATTATTTGGTATTACTTCAAGGAAAATCTGTGCACAAAGCTATTCAAGTTCAAAAGAAAAATTAATTTTTTTAACTGATACATTGCATCTCAGTTAAAAAAAAAGTCATCAAATATCATCCGCATCTAACTCTTACTAGCCTAAACAATATTAAATTTGTGATTATAAGAATATTTAAAATAAAGTATAAACTCTGCAATACTTAAAAAAAACAAACTAAAATAAAAACTAAATTATTTTTAGCTTGCACTTTGAAAACTGTTCCAGTCTTCCTTTGCTGACGAAGAATTACAATGTGAAGCATTTGAATCATAAATCAATTGTTGATTCTAATGCACATATTCTTATTTCTCTTAAAGAATGTCAGTTTTCTAATTCTTATCAAATTTTTAGTTATTCGTGAGAACAATACGTATTCATAATTATAATTATACAAAATAATAGGATTTTAACAGATTGAAAGCATATATGTATATATATATATACATTATAAAAAGCAACTAAGAATTCTTACGTATTAATAAAAAAATTATCTATGTCTGTACAATAATATTTTAAAAACATTTTTTTCACAGAAAGAGTACTCTTGATATTTATGAATATTTGCATCACGCATTTAATAATAATATTGTTGCAATAAAATATATATTGTCTCCTAAATTATTTCTACGTAAATATATATTTAAAAATATATACAAATATGTATATTTATTATATATTTATTATGTATATTTAATATTTTTGGATTTAATTAAAGATATTAAAGACGATGAGAAACTGAATGTCACAAAAAATAAATATAGTTATACATATGTTTTATCTATAGTTAAGATTAAAATTGTCAGTTATTGTCAGCTGTATTTTTATCAACATGATATTATTCATAGATAATAATGTTTGCAAATATGCTCAAGCAAAACTGTAATATATAAATTTGTGAGTATAGCAATTGACATGCATGTTTAATACAATATGTTTTTATTACTACACGCGAATATATGATAATTCAATAATATTGTCAAATCGTACCAACAGTTTTTGATAATATTTCCTCTCGATTTTATTTTATTCATTATCTTTTTGATCTAAAAATGAAATATAGAATTAAAAGGTGAAATTATTTCGAATATATCAATTTATTTATTAGTACTTTTATTCCATTTTATAGATATAATAATTACTAACTTAAAACCGGATAAAGATATATTACTTAAAAACCAATTTGCATTCTACAATTTTACTTCATGGATTACATCATTAACATTAAGAAATACGATAGATATCTCGCGTTAAATCACAGATAACAATAAAGATAAATTATGTATCCATTATATTGTTTAGTTAGCCGTTTAATTTCTTAATCTCTTAGATTTTCGAATCTCAGATAGAGAGATACATAATTTTTCCGTAGTATATATCTTATAAGCAAAATTATTAATAGAGGCAGCAAAATGATTCGCATGATATATTGAATCTCGCATTCAGGTAATGCGGCAAATGCAGCGTCTTTAGAAATTATCATCGCTTAATTCTCTGTTAGGTGTGTGGAGTACAGGTGAATCCCATTTTTATTCTTTCTTTTAGCGCATGAATTTTTGAGCATGCACCTGTTTAGGTATCTTTCTTTTCAAATCTAGAACGAGAAAGCAAAAGATACCTGCAGCGACACATATTAAAAAGAAGTTAAAAAGATATGAAAGCTAAAAGATACGAAAGAACGAATATCCATGGTTCATACCTGTATTTCAGACTAATAAAGAATTAATAATATCTGAAAGAAGGAAATCAGGACCATGATTGTGTAAAACAAAAGGATCAACAATATTAATTAATATAAAATTTATCATCGATTAAACAATTGTTCCAGCACTATTATCTTCAGTCATTCTTAATCAATGGATATAACCGTTTTGATCTACAATAGAATTCTTTTGTCGACGAAATCTCAGAAGATCTCTCTAAAGATCGGTTGAATCGGACGATCTCTTTATACGGCGGTGTATGTTTGCATAAGGATCGGTATCCCGTGGAGTACTCATCTCTGTATTGTTTGAGGATGCCATAACGTGATCAATCGAAAACATATTGAAACTTTGGCAACCTAATCGCTTCAACAACAATTGCCAAATCCTTTTCTTTCATAAAAGTGTAATTATAACGTAATAGTGTGTTATGCATTCCAGTGTAGCATATATATACTTAATGGAATATGCGTTTTCATCATATACTCACTTGAATAGCAATCAGAGACCAGTATATGCAATAACTAATATAAATAATACTTTAGTTACTTATACGCATAACTTAAACTTGCAAAATCATTGAATAAATAATTAAATAATTGAAAATTAAATGTATGTGCATGAATATTTTATATTTTATTAATGGTGATAATTAATAAGTTTATAATTGAAAAAATTCAAAATTACCCATGTTTAATGAAAATAAATATTAGCAATATTAGTATAATAATAGCAATAAATGTTATATTAGTTAAATTAAACTTCAAAAATAGTGATAAGAACATAAAAATAAAAAGGCTATGAGGGCTAGCGCAGATATTACGCACGCAAGAAGATTCAAAGCTAATCAAAAATTAGTTACAAATTTATTAAGTAAAGTTGGTTGAATATTGGAATCGAACCTACCGAATCGGATCTACCGAAATCATCTTCCATAAATGTTGTTTATTAAATTGATTGTAAGGATTGTAACGCGTCTTATGTGTGTCAAATGAGTGTAGACGACTTCAAACTAGAATTAAAAAACATTATAAACACATCATTAGAAATCGTCGAATTGCTAATTACAGACCATAGATTGCAATTGCATCATGAATTCAAATGGGATGAAGTGGCTATATTAGATAAAGAATTAGTCTTTCATAAACGTCTTATTTCCGAAATGTGTTTTATTAAAAAACAAAATAATAGTTTGAATTTGCAGACTGAGATCGAATATTTACATCATAATTACATTTCAGCTGTAAGCAAATTCCCAAACATTTGATGTTTGTTTTCGAGTAAGTTTATGCACATACATTTATTTAATATTTAATATTGACATTTATTTAATATTTATTTAATATTTAATATGAGACTATCAGCTCGGTTACACAGCACATTGAGAATGCTCTTCATAATTTGAATCCTTCACGAATCCCGGATTTTATATCATTTACTATTATAGCTATTACTGAGCCCAACGCACGGTTCATTTAATTTATTTTATTTACGTATTTATTATATTCATTTATTTTATTTTATTTTATCGACTTTTGTTTTATTTATTTATTATGTGTCATCAATTGCGGGTTATTTTGTTCTCTAATTATTGATTTTTTAGTTTTAATTTATGACTATTGGAATATGAATCTCTACTTACACCTCTGTGGAAGGATTCGACCTGCAATGGAACGACCATATCATATGATACGTGTGGTTTGATAGTTTTTATTTGTCATAACTTATCTGCTTATAACTTATCCGTTACGATTTATTATTTGTTTTATTTTATTATATTAATTGCATTTTTATATTATTTTAAGATAGCTAAAAAAGGATCGAAAGAACGTCTGCGATTCCAATATTCAACAACATTACTTAATAAATTTATTACTAATTATTGATTAGTTTTGAATCTTCTTGTGTGCATAATATCTGCGCTGGCTCCCATAGCCTTTATATGATTTTTATGTTTCTGTTTTATAACTTGGTGGAGACTTCTAACTATTTTTAAACCAAAATCAAATAGAAATTGTTACGTTGTTTAAATAATTTATTGTGAAATAAGGTCAAGCAATATACATAGACTTTTTAAGTGTTGTATACCATTCGATAGGAAATTTTACCCTAAAATTTGTGTTCTGAAGGCCCCTCTCTGGTAAAGGCCCTTGGGCTTCAGCCCCTGTTGCCCTCCCCCCCCCCAAATTCGGCCCTGATCAAATATAAATCATTCGTGACTCTTTATCTATTTTTCGATTATTTAAATGTAATTCAGATTGAGATCGTGCAAAACCGAAATCATAAATATAAATATATATTTAATATAATGAAAGTGATCCTTCAATAAATAATCATATAATTAATCTATATCATTTAAAATCTAAATTTCTATATTTTAAAATATTTCGCGTATATATTCGTCAAAATAAGTAAAATATTTCGAACAGACAATAACAATGTTTAGCCTTGACGGAGTATACAATAGCGCGCTAATGTTTATATTCCGCGGTCTTGGTATCATTCATACGGCGACACTCGAGCAAGATAGTGGTGCGAAACGATATTCTTCGTATATTATCGAATTTATTATTAATTGAACGATTATCATGATTTTCAATTAGATTAATCTGTCGATTTTATAATTCGTGTTAATATAATATTAATAAAACGGAGCATTTA